TCCGATTTCACCCACACACTGTCGATAGGGATGCTAAAAATTTTTTGTCCTGAGTGAATTTGGTTATTACAGCTTTATCGGCTTAGGAGATATGCACAGTAAACCTATTAGAGGGTGGAACCACGCCCACTTTTTCAAAATTTTGACTCAGGTTCCAAATAACCTGACAACTTATGTTATGTGCTTATATAAGCAATTTGATGAAAGATCTAACTACTTTAGTTCAGACCCCATCATTACTCTTTAATTCTGTGCGAAAGCAATGTTATCGCAATGATCAATTAGACAATAGACTTAATACTTCCAGTGAAAATATCCTCTCAGTAAGTAATGAGCCCCAAGAGAATAAATGAAGCTGATATGAGTGAGAGCCGCTGGAGGAGGGTGGCATCGATATCTTTTAGGAATGGGAAGGTTGTTCGAGAAGTCTATTATTAGGACTAGTTTCAGGAATCCTAATTATTGCAGAATTTTCAATCATAAGTCATGATGCTACACCTGTAAAACTGATGAGGTAGCGAGGAAAGGCATCTCAATCTCGCTGTTACTAAAATGAAAACACTCCGGAGCTCCGCTATGTTGTTACGCTTTACTGCTGGATAATAGCGATTAATTGGTATCGGTATTGGTTGCTTCTTTATTTGTTTCCATAGTGCTTGCTTATTTATTGTTTTGGCCAAAATTAGGTCACGTGCTAAAGAATGCTTTCTAATAGGTTGCGAATTTAAGCATGTTTCGTTTCCATACACCAGCGTCGATTTCACGCAAGTGAAAATATTCTGAGCTTTGTGCTTGTCGAGATTTGCGAGCTTTTCGATACGAATTGCAGTCGTCCAAACGCCGCTCTTACTTTGCTCATCCCACAGTTGATATCCGATGTTTATCGAAAAATATTTAACAGGTTCCTAATTTTGATGAGAACAGTTGAAATCATCACATCAATCACATAGACCATCGATGTAAATCATGTTTTAAAGCGTAAAAATTCCCGAAATTCGCATCTCCATAAACAATATCAAATCGCTAAGTGCTGCCTCACCCATTTATAAGTTTTAAAGAGAAGTTGAGCAAATAAACTATTATTTATGGAATTTGTGGCGGTTATTAGTTAAGAATGGTATATTCGATTGGTTTTTAGCTAATTTTAGTTTAAATAAACTGCATAAGGGCAAAACACTTTGCGATTTCAGGAAACCAACGAAATGCTGTAGAATGGAACACCTTCATATTTACATATGACTTGGTATATATCATAAGCAAATTGAACACACAGAAAAACCGTTATGTGATAAAGAAAACTACCAAACCAGCTTGCTCTGCACCAGATGAAGCGACTGACGAGACAGTGCCACATGATGAAGAATAAGAATAAAGTAGTTTGGCTGCAAGTAGCAAACCGATACTTCTGTTGCTTTAAAAGTATTTTAATCTATTTTCTTTTTGAATCGCAGACGGCCGACGTAGTGGAATCAGAGCTGCTAAAATTGGAGATGAGGTGTGGTGGTTAGCCGCAACAATGCGGTTCAATTAATTGAATGAAATTCCAAATACACACGTACAAATAATATATACGTATAATGATAGACGAAATGAGGCAGAAAGAACACTCGCGTACCGCTATTTGCCGACCGAACGCGTTTAGCTTGAGAAGCGTGCTACAGCCGCAGTGTGCCAGCGATAATTGCTCGAAGCTAATTTGACTCAATTCCAATCGCTGTTTGACATCGGACTTGGACTTTCGGCCACTTCACTCTTTCTATTTACATAGGTATGTCTGCAACAGATTTGGATTGAAATTCCAAAAATGAGAAAAAAACTCAGATAATAAAAAGAAAGTTATTATCGGCATTCGACAGCGAAATCATTTTGTTTATTACAAGCCAACCGCACATATGTACAATACATATATACTTATGTAAGCATATTTGAAACGAATGCCACTTTAATCTAATATACGCGCAGCTAGTAATTTGACTAGAAAAAATGCCAACTTCTCGAATATTTTGATCTATGCAATCTGACCATCGCAGTGGAGTTCGTTAGGCCGGAAATTGAGCAAATTACCTTCTCATGCCTTTCTTTTTCTAATTTAACACGAACTTGATTGAATATGTGTACTTTTTGTTACAAATTGACCCCTATACAGCAACCATTCAGTGGCGTGTTGAAGCCACAAAATTATTAAGCTCCACTGTGTATACATACGATTGATCTTCTGATCCCACTTCCTCCTAACAATTCACCCATAAATATATGTGAGCACCTGTATAAAGTTATATTTTTAGTAGATATCGAACATTACATGCCATTAGCTGCACTTAAACTTCAATAACTACGTTTGAATTTTGTAGTATTACGAGGAACACAGTGGGACAAATGAAGAAAATTCAAAATAAAAATTGTTAAATATAATATTGTATTCTAAATAAGTTAATTCTTCCTCTTTAATTATATGGTTAAAATGTATATATGTTCCAGACGTCTCAAACATGCTTTAACTGAAAAAAACTAAAAAATTAAATATATTATTAATAATTTTATTTAAAAAGATCGAATAAAATCAATATATATAATAAAGTAGTGTTAAACATGGTATGTCAATGCATTCATACTTCTGTTTAAGTGGTTTTTTCCTAAACAAGCTGGAGTTGATAGCGACATCTGTTGATAATATTGGATTGGTTTTGTGGTCAGGCCAAAATTATTTCAAAACAAGTAAGGAAGGGCTAAGTTCGGATGTAACCGAACATTTTATACTCTCGCAAAGTCAAATAGTATACTCGTTTGAGATTTCTTTGTGGATTGGCTGATATTTTCGGTAGAAGGTCAACTATAGGCACTGGGGTCCACATATTTAGTACTTAGGGGCTTAAACAGTTTTGGTTCGATTTAGACAATTTTTGGCCACAAGGTGGCATACTTTAATCGCATTATTCACGCAAAGTTTTATCCCGATACAGTCATTGTTGCCTGATTTGCATAGTGGAAAGTGAAATAATCAGATGGAATTTAAAATGGTGTTATATGGAAAGTAGGCGTGGTTGTAGTCCGATTTCGCCCATTTTTGCACTGTGACATAAAAACATGAAAAGAACGTTATGCACCGAATTTGGTTGAAATCGGTTGAGCAGATCTCAAGATATGGGTTTTCACCTAAAAGTGGGCTGTGCCACGCCCACTGTCTAATTTTGAACGCGGTTCCTATAAAGTCATCTTATACCATCCCAGAGATAAAATTTAATGACTCTGGCGTGTTTAGTGCTTGATTTATCGCGCTTTTAGTAGTTTTTAACAGTACCGTTATATGGGGAGTGGGCGGAGTTGCCACCCGCTTTCAACTATTTTCACACCGTCAATAGAAGTACTAAAAACATTTGCTTCTAGTTAATTTTGTTATTATAGCATTAGCGGTTTAGGAGATTTGCACATTAAACCTATTAGAGGCGGGACCACGCCCACTTTTTTAAAAAAAATTTTAACTGCAGATGCCCCTCCCTAGTGTGATCCTGTGTACCAAATAACAGTCTTGTATCTTATTGCGGAGCTTAGTTATGGCAAGTTATTTGTTTTTGATTAATGGCGTTTTGTGGGCGTGGCAGTGGTCCGATTACGCCCATCTGCAATACCAACCGTCTCACGGTACCATGAAACATGTCTACCAAGTTTCATAAAGATATCTCAATTTTTACTCAAGTTAGAGCTTGCACGGACGGACGGACGGACAGACGGACAGACGGACGGACAGACGGACGGACAGACAGTCACCCGGATTTCAACTCGTCTCTTCATCCTGATCATTTATATATATATATACCCCTATATCTAACTCGATTAGTTTTAGGTGATACAAACAACCGTTAGGTGAACAAAACTATTATACTCTGTAGCAACAGGTTGCGAGAGTATAAAAACTTTGCGTTATAAATATATAATATAAAGAATAAATTATTGCAATAAATTATACCTTTTTTACACAGAACTTTTTTAACTTACCCTTTTACTACTAAATTGACAACATTATTATTATAACTCGGTAATTTGGAATCAAGATATTAAATTTGGAATATCTGGTATTCTTATTTAAAGAACATCAATGAGATAATACTTTTCTCGAAGTGGATCTTTCTAACTGCTGTTACTTGATTTATACTCAATTTGGTTTGCCATTTCATAATAAATAAACTTACTAAGGAACAACGTTTACATCTCGTGCAAATTTATTACCAAAATCATAGTTCGGTTTGCACAACACATCGCTCGCTGCGTTCAATATTCGGTCGACAATTTATTGAAGGAAACTTTGGTGAACGCATTACCGCCCGTCGGTTGTCTGTGGCGTGATCTCCAAGATCGTGCGACTTAACACCATTGGACGATTTTTTGTGGGGTTATGTGAAGTTGCTTGTCTAATATTTTGTAATATTAGATATAATAATAATAATTATTAAATATTTGGCGCGTTATTGCTGGACACAGGCCTCTCGGCTGAAATTTATTCGTGCCATCCGCGTTTTCCAATTTATATGCGTTTTAATTCCTCCACGTGTCCAAAAAACACCCTTTAATAGCTGATATTGGACATTTGAAAGTTCCTAGTATTTGAAATTTCAACTTTTTCGTAAAATATTCAAATCTTCTTATTGAACCCTCCTTTTCGAACACTGTGATAAGAAAATTATACACCTACGTACGTAAGCACTTATAATTTGGTATAGCAGCTCAATCCAGCTGAGCAGTAACCAAAACTGGTGCTGCCAACTAGCCACTCATACGCATATGTATGTACGTAAGAAGGCGCGTTTGTACAAAGCCTATAAACTTCCAGAGAGTTGCGCTTACGGAGCAATAACGAGAAGCCACAAAGCCAGAAAATGCACGAGAAAAGAAATAAAACAATGGAGTACAATAGAAAGAGATATAACCAGTTTTTGTAAAAGTAACAGCGAGACAGAGTGCAGACCGACGCCGGCACTGGAACTTTGCTAAGAGCATGCGCGAACACTCATCACAGTTTTAAACGTGATTTGAACGCGTTTCTAAACGGTCAACATACGCGGATGTGCTAAATGCTCTAAAGGATTTGTCAGTGTTGTATGCAAGCATAAGTTAAAAAAGTAGTGATAACTTTTATGGCAAGACTAATGTAATGAAAAGCCAAAAAGACTTTAAGTAAAGTGTTACGTTGTGAAAAGACTAATAACGATATAAATTTAAAAAAAATAGTGCCCACCTTCTTCAATAAATGAAAATGTATTTGAGTCAAATAAAGTGTTGGACAAAAAACTCCGCATAAATAAAACGAAAACAAATAAACAGTAATAAACTATTCATAACATTTTTCGAAATATATTAGTCACGAATCCTTCGAAAATGACGAAATTAACAGTTATTTTCCCATTTCTATTAGCTGTGATTGCTTTTCTGTGCAGCTTCGCGCAATGCGCCACCGAAGCCATACCTTCACCGAAATTACCGTCCACACAAGCTCCTCTAAGCGCAGGAGCCCACCCTGCACAACCTGCTACAAATAGCACACGCTATGCTCGACTAATGAAAATATTGCAGGACCCGAAAGCTTTAGCAGCCAAACGTTACCGGGCCGTAGCACAACGCGTCATTGCGCGCGGTGATAATTTACAAGCATCAGGCATGCCTAACCGACGGCCACTATCGGGCTCTCCACCTCAGCAAAAACCGCGTCCGCCCATTATGCGTCGCGTACAGAACGGTCTTCCTTTCAATGGCGCGCCACCGCATTTTACCTTTGAGAAGCCTAAGGGGGTTATAAACCATTTACCTTCCAAAGGCCCGGTCCCATTCAACGCTGGCAAAATGTCCGTATACAGACCGCCTTTCCCGTTCGCGCATTCACAGCCACAAACACACCAAAATGCTTTGATAGCTCAGTCGACGGCGCCTGCTCAATCGGTAAAAAACCAACAACAGCTGCAACAACACGAAGAATATAATTTCAAGGCATCGCTACCATACAATGGCAAGGCGATTGTACGCCCCCTACTCGAACCGCATGATCCAAATTATAGACAACACCTTCAACAGCTACAGCAGTATGCTGGCAAATCCCACCATATGGTACAACAATATCCCATACCACAACAACAACAGGTGCAGAAACCACACACACAACAGCACTATCCAGGATTGCTCCAAAGCAAGCAACAATCGCCCAACGGACCACCAGCTTTTCATTATGAAATAATTCGGCCGCACGAAGAGCCTGTGCTGCATCCGCACGTAAAGCATGAGCACCGTGTCCCCAATAGCGCGGGATATGCCGTCTATGAAAATAATGACCTGGCTGAAGAAGAAGAGTCGTACTTGCATCCCCATGCACACTATCCTCCCACTGTACGGACCGAAGAAGCTACGCATCATTATGCAAACATGCGTCAGCAGCCACAACACACAGATACGGAAAGCGCGGCGGCGCAAGAAGCTGAAGAATATATAAAATTTATGAACTCAAATGACTATTTCCTACCTAAGCATGAACCGAACTATAAACAGCTTGACACACAAAGCGATAAACATCAGTTGCGGCACCCAGAGTATCTGCAACGTGAGCAAACAGCCACATCAGAGCAGGTTCAACGAAGCCATTCTCACTACACGCAATCTCAGCAGCAGCATACACAACATCTTCAATACGACATGCCATCGACAACCAATAATAATGTAGCCTCTGGCTCGGACTCTTTCGCCGCTAACAATTACCTTAACAGTCCCATGCAAGTATCGCAGCTGTTTTACCAAGAAGACCCCGTCCCCGCAATTGTACGTGGCAGCTATCAGACCGGCAGCAACTTATTCGTGGTAAATTCGGATGGTAATAAGGCCGTTAAACATGTAATACCTGCACCCACCACAATCGCGCCCACAACGTTGGCTCCAGCATATTCTAAAGTGCGCTATAACGCGCTGCATAGCCGCACCCCTGAACCGCTGCGCTTCGAGTTTACTGAACGCGATGCTGTGCACTCGTCCTACACTAACTCCCCACTGCAATCTTTCAGAAATGGAAATGAGCAGTTACGCTTTAGAGCCGCTGCTGCGGCATTATCCTCTTCCACTACGCAAGACTTGCCTGTATCAAGTTCCCACAATTACGGTAGCGCTATATCGTCCAATTCGGATGACCCAGAGGACGACGAGGATGTACAAAGCGGTAGTTCGGTAAGTCCACAAAACTCTTCCATATTAAAAAAGTAGCTCTAACAAGACAGACGCTAATGTCAAATTAAGGACTTCTATGGGCGCTTACCAGTACATCAATCAACTCCAGCTGATGCGCCTTCAATGCCAACACCACCAGCACCGGTCGAACAGAAGGACACCGAAGACTATTGCGAGCGAATGTGCGCCAATGTGCAAGACGAGGACGAAGAGATCGTATGTGGCTCAGATGGCTACATGTACACGAGCGAGTCCCAAATGGAATGCTATGCCTCATGCCTCCACATTGGTGAGTAAATACAAATCCTAAATACTCGTTACAAGGCTCCCACATACAATTACTCGCTATTAATTTGAATTATGGGGTTAGATGAATTCTGAGTCATGAAAAAATTACAATTTTAAATCATTTTTAATACGCTTTTATTAGCTTGGATTGTATGTATGTAATTGAATCTTAGAGCTCAATTTTGACCGGTTTCCAGAAGTTTGATTGACTTGAAACTTTGCTGACGTGTCAAGGACCGATGACAATGCAATAATTTGATAACAGTTTCTCACTATTTTAATGGTGGGCGTAACCCCGCCCCCTAAATGGTTTAATGTGTATATCTTCCAAGCCGCTAAAGCTAACTCAAACAAATTTGATGAGAGGAAGTCCTTTTAGTCCTTTTTCATACGCTGGGAAAATAGGCAAAATCAGATAATAATTACGCTCACTCCCCCATATAACAGTTATGTTAAAATATACTAAAAGTGCGATAACTGTCGAAATAAATGCGCCTTAAGCATTAAATTTCACAAATAAGATGGTATGGAAGAGCTTTATAGGAGGAGGTGTAAAAATTGTAAAATGGGCGTGGCAACACCAACCTTTAGGTGAAATCCTATATATCAGAAACTATCGAAAAGCGTTTTTTTTTAGTTTTTTCAAACTATTATTTGTTGTTGTTTTGGCCGAAAATTATTTTACTCATTCATTAAATAAGGTTTTGACTTGACTTGACAGATATTTGAAAAAAAAAAACAAATAATAATAATGTTAAAAGTAATGGCTGTTTGTGTTAATAAAGTACCAACCGAAGCTCCTTGCGCTGACCATCACTACCTAGAGATTCATCTAAAATTAAACGCACAAAAAGATAATGTATTTCTATGAATAGATAATCTTTTTTTAAATTAACAACATGGCGGTCTCAGAAAAACATTTCCAGATTTTCGGGAAAAAACGGATTTACTTCAAATTTTCAAAGAATATTCAAAGATATTATACTTTACGTAAATCCAAACAAAAAAATTAATTCTACTGTCATAACCACTTATCTGAAAACATTGAATTCACATTTATTTTATTTTTTTATAGATGTAACGGTGCAAAGCAAAGGATCCTGTAACACGCGGTAGACCGAATTTATTTAGATCAAGTACATAGGTGTCGAAACACCAATGGCAGGCCGCACTAACTGACATTTAGCGAATTTCTAATTTATTTAATTTTTTCTATTTATTCTTAATTTATTCTTCTTTAGTTTTACAAGTTTCTATTTAGACTCGTTTGTAAAAAGTATTTATGTATTCCATTAATTTGAAATGCTGTTAAAAAATAATAAAACATAATATTTTAAAAATAAACTTACAAATGTGTATTCACTTGTGCGCGATTAAGTTAGTGTCATAATTGAAGATTCCAAATTGCCACAAAAAATGTACTCAGTATATAACCAGAGAATGTTAATAAATAGAGAAGGCGCAAATGTTAGCTGTACTAAGATGTAAATTATTAAAAGTGAAAATCGAAAATGCGCAAATTCGAAAATTAAATTACACCACGTCAAAAATTAATTTTCCCCTCTTTATTTATTAATTTTTTAAATTATATATTATTTACCATTCTCTGTTTGCGCCTTCTCTATTAATTAACATTCTCGGTTTTAGGATAATATTTCCAATAACAGCGCCATCTATGAAAGTCTTTTGTCAATGTAACTATTCCGGTTATTTAGATACATCCGGCAACACTATTCCATATAATTTGACATTTGACGTCTGACAGTGAACGTTTTTTTGCTGTTTTACTGCAAAAATTAAGCAGTTTGTCGCCGATTTTGTGATTTTCGTACTATTAAAGAAAACATTACCAACATTACAAAAAATGACTACTTATCTTACCGACAGTGATGGAAAATTTATTCCAGCGACTCAACGACCGGATGGTACTTGGCGCAAAGCTCGCCGCGTTAAAGATGGCTATGTGCCACAGGAAGAGGTGCCCTTGTACGAAAGCAAAGGTAAGCAATTTGCGCAACGTAAGAACACGCTTCCGCCTGGTATGTGTCCACTGGTAGCCGAACAGACCAAAAAAGAGCGAGAAAAACAAGAGCGTGCCAAAGCAAAGAAGGTCGCAAAGCAGCAGGAAAATTCCGTAGCTTCTAAATCAATTAGTGGTGGAACGAGTAACAATAAAAAAGTTAAGCAAACTCAATCACAAACACAACAAATACCTGGGTTACTCGTTCTTGCCAAGAACGAAACCTCAACGGCAACAGTCTCCAAAGTTAATTCTAATGCTAACAAGACAAGTACAAATAACAACGACGCTGTTGTTAAACTAGCCAGCGATTTGCAGGCCTCGCTGCAAGTGCAGTTAGATGAAGGACTTGATACATCGAAAAAATTGAAAAAGCTTCGAAAAAAGTTACGTGAAATAGAGACAATCGAGCAAAGAATCAAAAGTGGAGAACTTAAGAAACCCGAAAAAGATCAATTAGATAAAGTGAAGCGAAAAAAGGATGTGATAAAAGAAATCAAGCAGCTTGAAGAGGAAGAAGAAGTCCAGTGTAAAGTCAAAGGAAGCGATTAAAATAAGCATGCCGAAATCTTATGCGCACACCATAAAACTCCAAAGTGCCATGGAACAACTAAGCGAAGCACTATATTTGCTGTGCGTCACCACCCACTGAGTATACGTACACATAAATAATCGTTCTAGTGTTATTATTTAAAAGTTCATTATTTTATTTTACTCTTACATACATTTTTTGGGTTTTTACTTGTTCTTTTAAAAGAGCCGTCTTATAGATGTAATAATATTTTATTTTTTTTATTGTACTTGCGAAAAAATTGTGAATACAATACCAGTTTGGTAAATATTGTATATTAAAACCTCAAGAACAATGACCTGTTTGCCCAGAGTTCAATTTAGTGTTAAATTATGTATGTACTGTATTGTGCAAGCGTTATAATTTTGCATGTTTTTAAGGTAATTTAATTATTTGTTGCGCCGATATAATGAGTTCGTTTTATTTACAAAAACGTAAAATATTTATTAATATAAAATTGCATAATTTCATCATATAAATATATTTATACATTTATCGGTGCGTTGTACACTAGGTTATCAAAAACAAATTAGTGAAGCAATCTTTATTTTATAAAACGCAAAACTAGAAGTCTTTGTGATGTTCTTTTAAAATCAATGATCATCTACATATTTAAGTCGTTAATAAGACAAGTATACAACTGCCTAAAACTTGCACATTCAATTTCCAAGCAAAGACAAAATTATAGAGTAATAATATAAACGAAATTATCATGGATTTAGTATAAGAATAAACAATGATCGGGTGTTTTAGCATGTGTAAAAATTTCGAAAAGCATTTAAAAAATGTCCGTACCAATATAGAGATTGTCAAAAACACATTAAGTAAGTAAACAAAATAAGTGAACATTAATCCAAAGAAGACGATAAATCAAACTAGAACTGTATAAAGCAGCCATGTTACTTTTATAAACTGTAGGTATTTGTAAAATAGAGTTTAAATGTGTACGAAGATGCTTCAAATAAGAGTAAGTAAAAACGAATTATAAATATGTCCTTTTACTTTTTAAAATAGTTTTACAATTTTATGTGAGGTCTATTGTAGTTTTTACTGCATAAATATTAAACGAAAAATATATATATATGTGTATACATACATATATATGTATATATATATACATATATAGTATTTATGTGAAGTTTGCAGCGGTGAAATCAATATTGAATACTAACAAAGTTGTGAATCATATAAGCTCCAGCGACATTTAAAATTCAATAAATGTTTATCAAAAAATAAAGAGTGTTTGTAAAGATAAGTAAGAAAATACGTATTATGTACAATGAAATATCAATAAAATGCTTAAATTATGATGACTATTAAATCTGTATTCGTCTTTCTTCAGGAGAAATAGGGTTAATTCGCGTAAAACAAGGCTAATTGTTTAAAAATTTGCAAGGGTCAAAACAGAGGAAATACCTTCAGATGTTGGCTAAACATTATATTATATTAAGAGATTTAGCGAAAAAGTTCAACTTCATTGTTCGACAAAATGGTAAATGGATTACAATAAATTTTGTATCATATTAACTTATTTTGAAGGTCATAGACTCATTTAGTTTTATTACTATGCTCAACTTCCCGCAATCGAAAATTGTACAAAAATCATTGGAGATATATAAATGAAAGAGCTGATTTGAATATTTTTTGACATTGCTCAGGTATACATGGGACCTGATTTTCAAGCAATTTTATAAATATATAAATATAAACATATTATATATATGGAGTAAATTCAGCCGGACGTTTCAAAATCGTGAATATCAGTTATATGGGAGCTAAGGCACGATTTGCAAATTTTACCGATACCAATATATTTATTAGTGCTTGATTTATATACTGGAAAGTAAAAAATTCATAATGGAAAGAATGGAATTTTAAGTTTTGTTGTATGGGAATGTCAAAATATTCATATGTACCAAAATTGGTAGAAATTTGTGGAGTAGACCTGTGGTGCCACGCCCATCGTCCAAATAACGACACCTGCTTCTCAAAACGCCCTTTGTGTCATCTCTTGTTGCGATTCGTTGTACCAAATTACTGTTTATATCTTAATTTGAGGCTTAGTTATGGTAATTTGTAGGTTTTTGATTAATGGCGATTTGTGGGCGTGGCAATGGTCCGATTACGCCCATCTACGAACTCCCTCCCTCCCTTTTTTCCCAAAGAACACGTATACCAAGTTTCAGTAAAATATCTTAATTTGTACGTAAGTTATCACTTACACAGACGGACGGACAGACAGTGAATCGTATTTCAAGTCGTATATATATACATAACTGCCCAAAAACGAAATTTCAACTTTAAATTTTTCGGAACACTTTAAATAAATCAGACAGATAAGCTTGTAAAAATATTATTCATAAATTCATTAATTTAGCATCAAACTCTTGAGACACAACAATTCCCAAAACAGCCGTTTCTATGTTACCGAAATTGACTCATCAACCTGAATCTTACCACCCAAGCGGGAATTGGATAACCGCTACAGCCGACACAAAATTTTTGAGATATAAACGCTAACCAGAACTATAATGCCACCGACTGTGATATTAAGATACGGTTTGTACTCTTTTGTCCAGTTTATGAATATGGTAGCGGTGGATATAGAATGAGAGAGTGTCAGAGTCCTTGCAGAGATGAAGCGAGGAAGATTGGTGAGATAGCTGCTTACTTTTGAACACAATATCATTAATTCCAAAGCCTGTCGTCAATATCCGACAATCATCTGCATATGAGAGAATGGAAATTCATTTAGATGGTTGCTGGAGTTTCGTGACATAGAAATTACAGCATGTGCGCTCTAAGAGAAACGGTTAATCGCAACTCACTGCTCAGCAGATTACGCAAATGAAGACATATACCATTTTTCCATTATCTTGATCGACAACCTTACCAACTATATTTCCGTGAAAAACTTTTACAAAAAGTCGTTGTCTTAGTCGCAGAGAAATATCGAAATAATTGCCAAAGTTTTAAAATGCTCAAATAGTATATTTAGTTCCGCAATAAGTTCTGTTACAAGTTTAGGTCATTATAGAAATGAAACTATAATATATTTTTTAATAAAGGTTATTTTATTTAATAATGCATATTTTACATCAGCTATCTACAAAACTTCGTTCGAAATGGTCCCCTTTTGCTTTTATACAAGCCCTCAAAAAATTCAGCCATTGATCAATTGTAGGACGCACAGTTTCTATTGGTATTGACGACGCTGTTTGAACTAAAGATTTTTTGATACTCTCCTAATTTCTGTGGATTTTTCGACAGGTCATGTTTTCCAACGCTGACCATACACTGTAGTCCGGTGGATTCTAAACTTTCCGACGGCTAATCATCTGCAGCTGTAAAACCAGGATTATTAAATGAAGCCTTGTGTGCTGGATGATCCAATGCTTTGCATTGAAGAGAATATTGTTTAACTGCTTAATCACGTCTTCTAAAACTTCCATCTAATAGACTTTTTTCCCAGTTTTAACCTCTTTATCACAGAAGTGAAGAGGTGAAACGTCTTAACAGGAGACTCCTTACCAAAACATTACAGCAACTGGATGGTGACCACGTTGAGCCCTTGAAAGGACATTGTTTGAGTCTGTGAAAGTTTTTGTGTAAATTTCGTCGTTTTGCTTATTAAAAACTTCTTCAACATGAAAAATTTTTTCATCTGTAAAAAGGATACTTTCATGACCTATAACCGCGTGTCACTGAAGAAGCCGCTTGCATCAAATTTGCTTCAAGCTCGTTGTCTGACCAGTGACCGACAGTAGGCTTTCATGTGGAGGTCATCTCAAATAAGTCTTGACAATAATCTTGCCGATATATACACTTCCCTTGTAAAGGTGTTCATGAACAGTTTTTTATGGCTAAACTGACCTCGATCTTTCTGTCATCAACTGTAGATATTTAGAAAAAACGATTCATAGTGCGGTAAACAAACATTCTCGAAATATTAAGTTTTTTGAGAGGCTCATGCATTTCACTTGCTCGTTTTCCACACATATGTAAGGCAATCACCACATACGATGTTCTTTAGCTCCACACTCCATTGTTAATAAGAGAAAGCAAACACTGAACTGATTATTTTTTATACTCCCGCAACTTGTTGCTACAGAGTATAATAGTTTTCTTGACCTAACGGTTGTTTGTATCACCTATAACTAATCGAGTTAAATATATGGATATGTATATATAAATGATCAGGATGAAGAGACGAGTTGAAGTCCAGGTGAATGTCTGTCCGTCCGTCCGTCTGTGCAAGCTGCAACTTGAGTAAAAATTGAGATGTCTTTATGAAACTTGGTACACATTTTTCTTGGTACCGTAAGATGGTTGATAATGCAGATGGGCGTAATCGGACCACTGCCCCGCCCACAAAACGCCATTAATCAAAAACAAATAAATTGCCATAACTAAACTCCACAATAAGATGCAAGACTGTCATTTGATATCCTAAACCGCTAAAGCTACAATAACAAAAGTTCACTAAGAACAAATGATCTCACCTCTATCGACAGTGGGACAATGGGTGAAACCAGGTGACAACTCCGCCCTCTCCCCATATAACGGTACTGTTAAAAACTACTGAAAGCGCGATAAATCTCTCTGATAAATCATCTGATTTTTTCACTTTCCACTATGCAAATCAAGCAACAATAATTGTATCGGGGTTAAACTTTGCGTGAATAATGCGTTTAAAGTATACCATTTGTGACCAAAAATTGTCTAAATCGAACCAAAACTGTTCAAGCTAGGTACTGAATATGTGGACCATAGTGCCTATAGTTGGCTTTTTACCGAAAATATTGGTTAATGTGTAAGATATATAATTTAAATCGGATGAATACTTCTTTTAATATAAAATTTTGCCAACCCCTGTAGTAATTTATCGGGCTTTGATCCTTGCAAGTTGCGAGAGTTTAAAATGTTCGGTTACACCCGAACTTAGAACTTCCTTATTTGTTTCTGTGAATTTTTCCTCGGTGTATGCATTGTAAATGTTGTAACAGAATTTATGACAAGAAAAAATATATTCCTTCCTTACTAGTTAGTCATAACAGCATTAAAACAAGAAACTTACCAATTTGTGGTTTTCATATAATTTCACCATAAACAAAAATAAAATATGTACATTCTTAGCATATTCGTATGTAAGTATGAATGTATTGCGGTATTCAATCATTTTTAATTTTTTATAATTATTGATAATTTGGTGATACAATTCTCGCTAATTTAATATGTAGATTCAATAAATAGGTGTGTGTTCACATCGTGTATAATTTGTTGACATAGGTATTAAGTAAAACTAGCGCTACGCACATATGTATATGTGTAGATGTGTACATGTAAATACGATAAAACACAATAAATACTTTTTATTTGGCTACTGCATAATTTGGACACCAATAACTGTTTTTTTTTTTTTTTTGTAGATTCTTCTTTTTGTGAAACTGTATGTACCATAAATGTGAATGAATGTGTTTAAATTACATGTAAATACTCTTCGTTCGTCTCCCCCACCCAGCGATGGATTCCCTACAAATTTACAACAACTCCGTTATATTCTCTATACTATAATTTAGTGCATGTATGTATGTACGTATGTAGTTGAATTATTAAGTAACTTTGGCCGATCAGAATTTCTTTCTTTATTACACAAATGTGACATTAGCGACTAACGGTAATTAGTCCTCGAAGTAGCGGGCATTCCGCTTTCGTCCCATGTTGCAGATTTTAAAGTGGCAAGGCGACATATCTGCAGAGAGAGAACACAATATTAATTTTGAGGTTACATTTCTACATTGTGAGTAAATAACGATGATTAATTGTTATTGTGATACTTACATTGTTTATGTACTATATATAAGACATACATGGGTATGTGGGTGTATGGAGGCATGCAGAAATAAGTTTGGTCAGTAACAGGAGGCCCCAGCGTCATGTGAATGCAATAATGATATAAAAGAGTTATTTAGTCCGACAATGTTATGCTACGAAATCGTTTGAAAATCATTTACGACCAAAACTCATGACTTACATTGTAAATTCTTCTTAACGCCTTGATTCTTGTAGGTGTCTTTCTTGCCTGCTGGAGAATCATGAGCAATCACTGCGCCATCTATGGCATTTGTTGATATCTGTCTTAGACGCTCCTCGATGCTCGGCAACTCGTAGTTATCGTCCCCATCCTCGTTATTGACAGCGACTTCTCCGTAGTCAGCCATTAGCGCCAGATCACGTAGACCAGGCCACTTATTCAGATAATTGGACTGATCCCGACGATATTTTTTCTAAAAAAAAATTATTAAAGAGTTCAGTCCTAATTGTTATATACAAAAACCCACACCTATTTTAAAAATTATAGTCGCTTACAATTCAATACTTTTCTGCTCCAATATAATCTACATCTGAGTCTAATACAAACAAGCAGTGAAGGAGAGAGCGGCAGATTGGGGCAATTCCTCTCAGCCCCGAGGCTCTCAGCGGTGCCCGGTGCTCTGCAACAATATTTTCAGAATTTTTTTCTCTAACAATGCTATAGCTGATGCTATTATGAATTGCTATCATTTCACAATAATAATTGTGTGTAATGTTATAATTTAAAATAATGCTCCTGCAGACTTCTCAGCGGTCATCATCAATAAAAAAAATGTTTAGATCAGCATTCATGTTATCATATAAATATGTACTCGAGCACATATAACAGCAGTAATAAATATACATACATATAGTAAAAAAAAAACTAATTTTTTCTCAAAATAAATAAAATATAATATGAATAAATTGATCGATCACGATCTGCATCCTATATCCTACCCCGGTTTTTCTCTACAGTCCTGCATACAAGAGTGTACTTCATGAAGGGTTATGACCTATTCCTATACTATCATATTTGATTGCTTATTCGTATCGCCACTCTCCAAGTTTCGGTGAGCTGTTGAGGATACCTCATTAAATTTGTTATAATATCTTGTTATTCTATCTCAAATAGATTATGGCAGTGAAGTAGAGACGGAGGGAGAAGATCGGGAATATTTCCTCCCGGGCCCGGAGTTCTTAGGGGAGCACAGAGTTTTGCAACAATTTTTTGCAGATTTTTTCTCCAATAATTCCCTACAATCATCCACGGGCCCCGCTTCACAGCTCAGTATGCCACTTCTTCTTGAATCGAAACCTGCTGTTTGTTCTACTCGCCTTTCTTCGAGTCAAAGTATTAATTGAAGCCACACAGCCTTATCCGAGTATTGTAAAATTGAGAGTATCTCTCTCTTACATTAAAAATTCTGAAGAAATCATGAATGCATTGTAAGTTCCACTCTTTGTTATACTCACCAATTCACTGAAGAGTGCTTCCTCATTAACGTTGTTAAACAATTCGTTCAACAATGTCAGTTGCTTATCGGCTTGTTGACGCGTGCCATATTGCGGTATGCCCGCCAACGCGTTCACCAACGGCGATGCGCAAGCGTCACTCGCCAGCCACACAATTGACAGTACCAAAGTGAGATATATCTGATGATAGTTGACGGCTGCCAATGCAGTAGTAGTATGTTGCTGTGCCATTTTAATAGGGAAATGAAAGACCCTCTGCTGTTGGTTACTTTCCGTGATCAAGGGCACTCGCTGCAAAAAGAAAAGAAAATGTCAACTGATATAAATAAATATGAATAAAAGCAAACAAAAAATACAAGTCAGCACAAACAACTAACTGGAGGATAATAAACAGGCAACATTCATGTGGCATCGATATTCGCAATGACGCACAACATTTAGCGCTATAAAGTATGCTATAATTCTTAAATATTACCTAAATTTAATTTAAAACATTCTTTTGCATGTAAGCATTTCAAGGGCTTAGCGGAATTCAGGTGCGCCTACATGTTTTGAGGAGATGGGTGCATTAAGGGGTTTCGATTACAGCAAGCATTAAACTTGTAAGTTGAAACCAAAAGTTCAACAAGTGTAGAAACTTCAACACTTGACGGCTCTCACGTTGCATAAAGTTATTTATAAGGTATGCGCACACGCCTGGTACCACGCACATTTGCACGTGACAGCTGAAACATTACTTAGCTGCAGTGTAAAGCTATTGAAACTTTGCGGCACACGTAAGTACCGTAACTGTAGTTGAACAAGGTGGAATGTTTCTTCCAGTCAGTTTCAATAATTTTGGTTTCTAATATTGGCTCTTTTAAAGAAAAATACAGTTATCGCTCAAATGTTTCAAAGTTATTTTATTTATATGTTCAAAGTAATTAATCACAAAAGTACTCATTGCTGGGCACGATCTCTTTAAAAACACATTTTTAATTCTTTATTATATATATGATTAAAAATTGATTGAGGGTCTCACATACGGATGTCAAGGTAACGTAACTTATTAACACAATGAACTGTTGATACATGAAGTAGTACAACTAATTTGTTGATAATATTGATTTCATTCTGATAGAAGGACCATGAGTGCTAGATTAGAACAATTGTGTACAAAACAATGTTTCATCTCGAATAAATTCTTATTTGCAAACAATAATAATATTGTAAATCATTTGAAATTATCAAAATTGATAATGTGAATATTTAAAATATAAAATAGTAGAAAAACTGAAGGGCTTCCTTTTTCATTAAAAATGATCTTTAAATATTCATGCATAAATTTGTAAGAGAATGTAAAAGCAGATATGCGAATATTACTCTTTATATCTCTCTAGAAAACTATCTAAAGCCCTTTTTTTCGATATTTTTTGTGTAGGGTTGTTCTCTTTATACCCTGAATCAGAGTATATTAAGTCGTCTACGTAGTTTGTAACACCCAGAAAGAAGCGTCGGGCACTCTATAAAATGTATATATAAATGATCAACGTAACTAGTTAAGTCGATTTAGCCATGTCCGTCTGTCTGTCTGTAAATACGCGGACTAGTCGCATTGTTTTTGAGATATCGACAAGAATTTTTTCACATACAAACTGATCTTCCAATATTGTTATTATTGATTATTTAGATCGGATCACTTTAGCATATACATAGCTGCCATACAAACTGATCGTCCAATCAAGTCCTTATGTGGAAAACTTTTTTATTTAACGAAATGTCTTCACAAAATTCGGCATGGATTATTGGACAAGGCAATGCTACAATCTCTCAACAAATTATTTCGGTCGGATGACTTTAGCATATAGCTGACATACAAACTAAATGGTCAAAATCAAGTTCTTGTATGGGAACTTTTTTATTTGTGGAGGGTATTATAGCTTCGGTGCATTTTTTCTTGTTTTATTGAGAACTTGGCATCAAAAGTACGCTTAACGTCACTTGAAATGGATAGAACTTGAAATCTTCCATTTTTCATCTGAGAGATTTCAACGTCGCAGAATGTCGCTGAAATGACCTCAATTACGATATGCCGTTTGAACTAATATCCTCTTCCTAATGGACTTATTGGCAATGCTCAAAGTCAAGAAAAAGAAACAACTTCTATACATTGGTTAACTATTCAACTTCTATCGGACTTAACTTAGTAAATATTCCGCTATTAACACTGGGAACTGCAGTATATAGACTTAAGACCGAAGCTTATTCCAAACCTGTAACATTCACACATTTGCCATATATAGGTATACCGTTATTAAAGCAAACTTTTAAAAGAAATATTTTTTTCACTCGAAACGTTAACTCGGTTGTATTTGCTTAAAATAAAGCTAAGTATACTATTTTGCACTTACATTTAGAAGAATCGCAACAAAAAATATTTAGGCTTTAAATTGCACCGAAACAATTGTACTATTTCACCGTTAAGCTGAAGCTGTTTGCACCAGCAGTAGTCAATGCTAAATAAAGCACCAGTTTGTCTGGTCAAACGCTTTATAGCGTGACTGTAATGATGACATCTCTACCAACACAATCATCAATAATGACAACAACAATAGCAACAGCGGTATACTAATTGACAGGTACTATCAAAAATTATTTGAAATCATACCGAAACTGTAAGCACACTCTAAGCCCCTTCCTACAAGCCCATTTAAATATGCACAATAAGGGAATACACACCACGCCATAGACAAACATACAGACATACATACTTAATTACGAATTGTACAAAATATATGCAACAGGTCAATGGGTTTTACACTTGTATACACGGATATGGCATTGCACACCTACAAATATACACAGCGCGCCTGTAGTTGGATCCGTTCTGCCAATACACACATTTACACCTACAAATGTACATACTGATAACTAATTTTGGCAACTTCGGTTATGCTCTCCGTTATGTGTAGGGGTATACAGGTTCCACGTCCGTTCGTTGTATTGTCTATTGCATTATCTTCATGCTCGCCGCCGCCTGTCACCTGTCGCCTGGTATTTGTACATTCGTCCATGTCAATCAGTAAAATCAGAGCAAAATTTAATTCCAGTGATAAGATGTGCTTAGCCAACGTAATTCACAGTTCCTTTTTGGTATGTCGATAGTCAATCGCTAGTCAGCGCAATCCATACAGCAGTCGGTTAGCTGGGCAACATCGAGAGCTACATTGAGGTTTTAGCACGAAAACTGGATAGGTCTTTGCTACTTTTGGCTATGCGAACAGGGAGTTCACATTTTCAACGCCCAAACATATACCTATGTACATTTTGTTCTCGTTTTTGTTATTTTGAAGCATTTTATCACAGCTGTCAAATTGTCATATAATTAGTGACACCACGATATGATGTCCAAACACTTGTGAGCGGAAGTATTTTTATTGCCGAATATTTTTATTCTTTCTTACGCAATTATGTCGTATATTACTCTTTGGTCCGGTTGTTTACCTTTTCATATGAGATATAACGTTGGTGTAACCTAATTTGCATTTATCACACGCTCTGTGAAATTAATATTCCCCACCAAATAGGCTGTAGCACTCGGAATTATAAAACAAGAACATTAATTTAATTCGTGGCAGTTTATACTAGAAATGCACGCGCTCGTTTAAATATATTATATATAAAATATATGTCAAGATGCGACTAGTATATAAGAACTAGCTAAGCCGATCAAACCGGAAGAAACCGCTAAATGCCGCTTAGGGCCGAGTAGATCAACCAGCAAGTGGTTTCACGTGATTCTAATGCGCACCATATTATTCATAAGAAATTTACATATGTACAAATTTTATTCAACGCTAATTTTCATCCGAGATGCAATTAAAATTACACAAATCACAAGTGCTGCACTTTATTTGAACTCAGTAACATTAAGTAAATAACAATCTAATACAAACAGTACGATAAAGATGCGGAAGGCATTAACCTACAGTTTTATGAAGAATTACTTACAACCGCAATTTTCATGGATACATGAATTTTCGATATATAGAGCCACAAGGGAGAGAAAATTGCAGAAGCTTTAGATAGACTGATATTATTTTGTTATTTAAGTTACTAATTTCTGAAATTCTCATGTCGGGTTAACTCAACTTGAGTGGTCACCTTGTACTATTAAACGCGAGTGAATGACTACCAAAAGCTACTCTATTTCCTAGATTGCGACTCGTTTCCAGTTCGGTCGCTTTTTAAAAAACAAGGGATGATAGTGTGTTGGCGTGACTGCAGGCGCAAATGTGTAAAATATAAAAAGAGGCAATTATTAGAGTGTGTTCTTTCATGGGAATATTCCGGCTTACTCCTGACTACATTCGAGCAATATTCCCCGTCTCCCAGAAAAGGGTATATTAAGTATTTGTGTGGAAAACTTTTTATTTGGCAAGATATCTTAACGATCACCATTCACGATTCACGATTTGACATGGATTATTGCCCAAAGCAGCAATAAAATCACCGAAGGAATTGTTTAAATCCGACCACTATAGCATATAGCTGCCTACAAACTGACCGATCCAAATTAACTTCGTGTATTCTTTTGTATATATGAAGAGTATTATAACTTCGATGCAACGTTTTTTTTTTGTTTTATTTACCATAATACTAGCCTAAACCTGCAGCTCCCCTCGACGGTGACTTTGCAAAAAAGGCCTTCGTTAGGACCTTCTGCATGAATAAACGAATAAGTGTGCAAAATTTCATGTCTTTCCGTGCTGTGGTTCGGACGTTCTGCGAGTACATAAAGAAATAGCATTTAATTTTTATACTCTTGCAACTTGTTGCTACAGAGTATAATAGTTTTGTTCACCTAACGGCTGTTGGTATCACCTAAAACTAATCGAGTTACATATAGGGTTATGTATATATAAATGATCGGAATGACGGGACGAGATGAATTCCGAGTGACTGTCTGTCATTCCGTCCGTCTATCCGTGCATCTCTCTGTCCGTGCAAGCGATAACTTGAGTAAAAATTGAGGTATCTTGATGAAACTTGGTACACATATTCCTTGGAACCCAACGGAGGGTGGTATTGCAAATGGACGGAATCCGATATTGCCAGGCCCACAAAACACTATTAAACGAAAAATTTTAAGGTGCCAAGCACTAAATTAAGATATAAAACGGTAGTTAGTAGAAGTGATTGCAGTTGGCATGGTCACCTGTGAGCCAAAACTTTTTTAAAAGTGGACGAGGTCTCGCCTCCTAAATCTTTGAATGTATTATGTATATCTTCCAAACCACTCAAGCTAAATCAACTAAATGCTAAGAAGAAGTAGTTTAACACCTCTTTAAACCGAGTGAAAATGAGTAAAATTATAGGTTTATAGGATCAGTTGTAAAAATTGGACAATTGTGCACCGCCGACCTTTAGGTGAAATCCTATATCTTAGGAACTACTTGGCCGATTTCAACCAAATTTGGTGTGTGAGGTTACTCAAACATACTTAATAGACTGAGAAAATAGGCGAAATCGGATCACAACGACTCCTACTCCTATGAAACGTTCGGTTACCCCCAACTTAGACCTTCCTTACTTGTTATATATAAGATATTCCATGAAGCCAATTAATATTTAATATTAATATTTTGGACTATAATAAGGAGCTATAAAAGCAGATGATACCATATACATACATATGTAAATGTAAAACTAAGAGTCGTCAGTTGCTACTTGTCCATAATAGTCTTATTTTAAAACACCAACTACTATTAAAAATCTAGTTTAAACGCCGCAAACACATGCTCGATGAAAGATGCAATGCAAGCGAAGAATCGTTTCAAATTATTAATGCAACTAAATTCTTGTAAAAATGTGATCACGAAAGATACATATGAACGTAAATATCTCTCTCAATATATATACATATGTATAATAATATAAATATATATGTATATACATACATATATAAATATGTACATACATACATATGTATATACCTATGTCTCAAATTCAGAGCGACAAATCATCCGTTTGGCCAAATTTTTTCGACTTAGGCACCATAGTTACACTTACATACATACTCGTATTAGGGCTCTTAAAATTATTCGACTAACCGGAAAACCGATTATTCGAATATCCGGATTGTAATAGTCGTTTTTCTGCGACTATTTAAATACTTGCTCTGCTGCAAATTCAAAAATTGTTTGAAATTCAAGCAGCCTTTAATTTTTACCTTATTATACTATTCGAATAGTAAGCGTTCATTCAAAAAAACAACGAACGGCTAACCGAATAGTTACTCAATTCGCATTTGTACCAGAAAAATGAGTTCTTCTAAAAACGAGCGCATGACTTTCAGATCAGTAATGGTCCTAACCTCTATTGTATATAAATTCCAAAGCTTAATAGTGAAACTGCTTTATCTCTAATGCTTTATACGCCATGACAAAATTATACATTGACAAAATCCGATTCGCTTCGTGTCAACTTTATTATAACAGAAAATGTAGATCTATGTATATTAATCACTACTTTGGAGCTTTTTGAGCTTTAATTTATGTGAAAATGCGCAAATTCTCAATAAAAAGATAATTTCCCAAAATCTGCCAATGTGTAGCGATATAGTAGCCTAAGGAGACTTAAACTAAGTTGGATTTCTAATATATGAATTTGTTTATTCAGAAGAAAACTAAACAAGTGTTATTTTTTAAATTTTTAACGTTTTTGCAGCAATTCGAAGTAAGTTACTTTTTTTACCTACCAAATTACCACGTTTTCCAGATATTTTCTTTAACAAATTTTGCTCAAACACTTGTTAAATTCACACTTTAAAATAAACTGCCGTGCAAACACTTCCTGTTCCGCGACGAATCAAACCGAGTCCTGTTAAGCGCGCCACGGTCAGCACTAAAATGTTTCTGGTTTTCGGTTTAGACTCGGTTTATATGCAAATGGCGACACGAATATAATTACTGTTGCCTTCATTCTTCAAAAAACACAGCAACAAGTGCTTCAACGTTTCCCTTTTGTTGACCACTTTACTGTTCAAGTGTTATCCTCGCGCCTGCCACTTGTAAAACTCTTAAAGCAGTTAGATTACACAACAAAAACACGATTTTATAACATGCACACACACACACTTATATACACATATATATATGTATATAGCTGAAAGTTAGTCCTCTACAGAGGTGTGATATTCAACCCCTTCGAATGTTGTCAAATAACCCGACTGCACTCGTTGATTCTAGTTGTCCTTCCCAACACTCATTTCTAACAAAAGTTGAGTTACAGCTAATGCTGACTTTTGAGCTTTCACTTAGTTATTAGTTTATAAATATGTATGTATATGCCAATTGATGCGCTTTGACGTCTTTTGGCGTTGCTAACTTTTTCCAATTCGCATGAGCGAGTATGCGATTGTTGGATATTATGATGAATATCCTTCTTTCCGCATATTCCATTAATCACTCATCTTTGATTTCTTTTTTTCAACTTCAAGCAAATTGACCGCGAATATTTTATGGCGCATACAATCACGTATTCCACCGTCTTGTCAGACTTTTTGCAATTGAGACTTTTAAAATTAACATTTTGCAATTCCATCACTCTTTCAGCGTTAATTTATTGCGTTTGTGCGGTGCGTAGGTCGATTCCCCAATAGAATCTAGCGTATTCATTCAAAGCATAAGTGAAACTGTAGCCAAACATGGCACACGCCAATAATTTATATGAAGCTGCTAATTTCGAACAGAGGATCGTTTGGTATCTCTCCGACGATCAGCAAGCGTTGGAACGATCTGCGACTCGCCAATTCGGACCTAAATTGAAATGCATTAATATAAATGTAAAAGCCAACATACACATAAGCGGTTTTCACTTTCATATACTATGGTATATGTTGCTTCTTAGTAGTTCAACGTTTCGATTAAGTTAACTCGTCACTGTTGGCAGGTTTGGATTTTGAGTTGACTAATCACTGATAATGAAAGATTTGTATATTTAACATTTCAAACACCTACGTAAATTGAAGATTGTTCACCCAGAGAGTTCCCCCTGCGGGTAGGGGTAAGAATTTACCCGCGGTAAGGCATACCTGTCGTAAAAGGCGACTAAAAGCCAAATGCACTATGACTGTTAATTTATTTTGCCCAGAATTATCAGCATAGTAAATGATGTCAGAAATAGTGCTATAATACTCAGCTTGAACTGATATTATAGACTTTCAAGCGACAAATGTCACCAGTCATTGAGTAATGGGTTGCTCAACTGGCAGTAGTTTCGGCTACACAGTCTTACCGGAGACTTTCTGGTACCACGGGGAGCAGAAAGCCCTTGGACTTCGGTCCAATCTGCTCATTGGGTTATGGCCCCTTTGGGGAGATTCGTGGTGGCTGTGGTTGAAACCTAAATGCAGGAAGAACTGAAAATTCAGCCTAACTGTTCTTTCAGTTCTAAAAAGAAGTTGCAAAAAGCAACTGGGCTTCGTACCCGAAAACGGAAGAGGTTTTAGGTCGGCCTCGAATCTTGCCAAGATGGTAGTGTGGGCCCAGACACACTGCCACTGGTAACCAAATTAATACTTGCAAATAGCTCGTATTATTTGAGGCGCTTATCAACGCATTGTATTGATACGTTGTGCTTTGGAGCACCGTGAGGTAAGGCCGTCGCCGGCAGGTACTCACGTAAATCAACAACGAAAGTTGTTCACCCAGAGAACATGAACTCGGAACGCACTTGAAATAAATGTTTGATTTCTATATCCGACGCTCTAATGCACACCTAACGGTCGTTTACAAAAGTCAAAATAACTTGCTCTTTTGATATATATGTATGTATCCAAGTATGTAAGTATAGTAATGCTACATTAGAATACTTCAAGATATGGTGATACTTGACAGAAAAAACTAATTTCAAAACAGAAAATTATCTATAATCCAAGCTGCGTCTTTTGAAAAGTGTATACCCTGAAAAGTTTATATTAAGTTTGCACCGAGATTTGTAATAATCAGAAGGAAACGTCATGATCCCAATATATGTATAAATATATAAATAATCAGCGTGACTGACTAAGCCGATTCAGCTATGCCCGTCTGTCTGTAAAAACTTGAACTAGTCCTTAAGTTTTTTAGTTTAGTTTTCTTATGTTTCTGAAATTTTGCAAAACACCCTTTTCTTCCCAAGGAGCAGCTTTTTGTCAGAACCGCCGATATCGGACGACAACAGCATATAGCTTCCACACAAACTGACTGATCTAAATCAGGTTCTTGTATAACAAACTTTTTCATTTCACAAGATAAGTCAAACGGGACGTTAAAATCTCGGAATTATTTTAATCGGACAACTGAATCATATATGTACGCAGCTGCCATTCAAACCGTCAGATCAAAATCAAGATAAAGATCTTCATAAAAAATCTTTTTTCTATATTAATTACACCGAAAAAATTAAATTTAACGGATAAGTAATCTTTATTTAACTTCAGTGTTATTTATATCAAAAACCATAGATTATTTAATTTTTTTCTGTGTAATTCCTGAATGGCTTAAAATGAAGTAGTTGCCATCTGTTTGAAAATCATCAAAAATTTATAAAACAGGGAAGTAACAGAATTTTTAAAGGAATCTTTTAAGTTGGATCAAGCAGAACACACTATGCTAAATTTGACTAAAATTGGCTCAGATTTATACTGGGACAAAGCGTGACGCGTAATTTATATATAGATAGATAGATTTTACAATTTTGAAAGACAAATAGAAGAAACCCCAAAATACACTTCATGCAAATCGCCCAAAACTTAATGGAATATCTAGAAATTTATAGAACAACAAAGCAGACGATTTTACCAATTTTTAATAGATAGAATTCTAACAGTGATCTGCCATTAAGAGTCAATTTTAAATGCTTCATCAAGAGCGCTTAAAACTATGATGATCAAATAACTTCAAGGCACGTATTAAAAATTGAGAAGAGATACTGGCACACGCGCGTGTCTTTCGTGCAACGATTTGATGCCAATGACCTAAGGAAAAAAACTCACACGACTTTATAACTTAGCAACTATGCAAAATATTCATTGCTCTCTATCAAGCATTATTATTTCGAAAAATCCTTCACCCAAAAACTATAAATTTGATTGGCTGTTTGGCCTTATAGTCCAAGCAAGCAAGTTGTGGGTCAATGCACCTTAGAATCCCTACTGGTCGCAGTAATTTGTGTGAATAAACTTTGGGAATCATTTACTAAGTACTAGCGTAGATCAGACATTCCATACCATTCACTCATTCATACATAACAATACAAGTATATAGCATTGATTTGTATGCGTAGGTACGTGTGTGTATGTTTATTTATCGGCTTAAAGTTATATTAATTAAGAGAGGTAGTGTCTACATTTATCTATGTGTATGAGCGCATATATTTATGTGGGTCAAAGTCAGTTCCCTTTAAAAATTAACCATTTGACGATAAACCTACACTGCTTCAAAGGATTGTTAGTGATCAACTGTTCGCAAAAAAAGTTAGATAATACTTATCTACACACCCTTTTACACTTGATACTTATAAAGCTAATATTTCATTTAACACTTTGAAGCTTATCAATGAGTATAGAGTTGGATGATTTTTAGCTCATACTTACCTATAGACGCATGCTGCAACGCCAAGACCTCGTTTTGTGTGTATACATACATATACGTAAATAATGCAGTATGCGCATGATTGGTTTAAAACTCTGTATATTTATACTCCAACTAATAGTTCATTCAACAAAGTATTGGTATATGACTATATAGGATTGCTGAAACCCAAATCGTCGCCTATCTACTAACTCAAACATCCACTTAGTCTTATTTTGGATTCAGGTGAAAAGCTAAATATCTATGTTTTTTAAAACAAGTCGCTGCTGCACGTAATAAAACCTTGCCTACATAGCATAAAGAACTTGGCAAAGATTAACGAAAAAATCAGCTTTGAAATTCAACTGTTAATATACAATAGTTAGTCCATCGGCTGATCTTTCTGCCTCTCAGTTTACACTGAACGAATATATACCAAATTTCTGTCGCTCAAGGAGATAGGGCGAAAGGTGAAGTATCGGGTATTCATACTACTCTATTTGATGCCTGATTATTGAGTAGGCATGTAAGGCACATTAGTGTTATAAATAACAGACAAATTTAAAAAAAATTATAAATTATGTTCATCTTTTCCTTGTGAAAACTAAGGTAGATTGCTCATGATAGTAGCTCATATCTTGATGAAGATCTTAATTTCCTTACTAATTATAACAATTTTACAACAAAATTATTTGTTTAACGATTTCTAAACAGATTAAAATCGTTCATATTCATGCAGATCCCATTCAATATTGATTTATTTATTATTTTTTAATTATTCTGAGTACAGATTTTTGCAGTTCGTGATCACTTTTTGAGGAACTTATTTATAAATTTCGAAATACTTAACCTTGCTTATCAATGATACGTGTTGCTGACCACGCATGCCAACCTTGAGATTTTGTACAATTTTTTGACACAGAGGCGTAGAGCGTACAGGGTGCATTAAAATTTAACACTTATTTTTTTTAGTTCGCTCGTTTTCTAAATATAGGGTATTTTAGGGTGCAAACTTTGACAGTGGAATTTGTGTCAGTCCTCTGAAGATTGGAAAATTATGAGGACTAATTATGACGAAATTGAGACACTTACAACAGATTAGGCATTAGTCAGTCCGTACCATAGAGGAGTTTTAAATGTTTTGTTCTCTCCCATGAAGTAATACTAAATCCGGTGATGCCGTGGGTGAGACATGAGGTGGGAGTAGATTAGGTTTACAGGATTAAAGTTCCGCACTCCGACTTTTGATACACCCTCCTACAATATATATATCAATACAATTTATAATAATATTAAGAAATAATACACATATCTAGAGATGGTTAAACAGAGTGAGACTTGATAAAACAATTTACTGTTTCAATTCATTCATTTACAAAGGTCCGCTGTTTATATTCTATTACTTTTGGTAGTCCACGAATGATGCTACAAACATCCACTCATGGAATATTCATTTTACTAGTTTGTTTAATTATATTTAAAGAACCTATTTTTCTCAAAATGTAAATGACCAACATGGCGTATGAGTAATTATTTTCTGGGTAAAAAGCAGTAATGTGGCTTTTTTATACTTTCCGATAATTTATTTATCCATGAATAAACTAATTTATTTCCCCTATTGTTTGGATATATTAACTTGCCTAAAGAAACAAGGACAAAGATGGCTGCACTTTAAAGGCATACATTTCTTATGAACTACTCGTATACTCTTAAGTTCCACAACTACAAAAAGTGCAATTAGCATAAAGCGAATACGCCACTGTGCTTTTAATACAAAACAAAATGATGATTAATTTTCGGATATTGTTATCATTTTAGTTGATGTGCAAGGTCCGTCTGTACACATATCCTAAATTACCTACTGAACAATTTCAACGTTCATTGTAATTACACGTACTAATAGTCATTAGATATGTGAGCCATATTTAGATAATTTTTGTATTCTATGCACCCACTCTTGGCGAAATAATGAAAATTCTTGCATCATCATATGCTATTTTTGCACATTTTTATGCGCTCTCATTTAATCTCCACATAGTCTGACCGATAAGCTTGTCTGTGCACAGCCAATAAATATGTCCGCTTTAATTATTTATATTATGTATTTGTAATATTATGCTAACACACGTCGGCTTATGTGCAAATGTACATACATATGTATGACCAAACAATTGTTTTGCTTTGCCAAACACTTACACCGAAACATTGGCATCTAAATTGCGTCGATTTCCCTTCGCGCGAATCATGATTGATGAAATAAAAAAAATGCACACCACCGCAATCGTTTTTTAGAACATTATATAAAATACCGAATATTGGAATATTGGGATATATTTGTGTTTGGCGCCTTAATCAGTATTATCGGTATGATTCACGTGCACCAATCGAGCGCTCGCTCGCTCAATGCGTGATCGCTTTGAGCGAATTGATGTGGATTTTCAGCTATGATTTCACCTATTTCAGATGATGCTGTGGTGGGTTCAGGTTCGGTGAGTTGGCAAAGGGTGAGAAAGGCGAATTGAAGCTTACTATTTTTTGGTATTGTAGCTTCTAAGTTTACCTGTGGATTTAAAACCGTAACCGTGAATGCATCTTTTTACATAACAAAACGAATATATAATACAAATAACTTATCAAAATAATTTTGTAACTTCATCATTAATGGCTTCACCACGTCTTAAAAGTTCGTAATGCACCAAGTTCGTTCTGCTCCCATCATATACGGAGCATTATCTTGGCGTTATGGATATTCGGCTTTGCCGTTGATTTGATTGGTTGGCAAGGTTTCTCATACATATAATTCATATTGCGTTTAGGGTTGTCGTAATGGATTAATTTTTCATCGCCAGTCACAATCCGATGCGAAAACGACTTCTTTTTATGGCGCCCATACCGCATTTCTGACATTCAAAATCGTTTTCAAGGTATCTTGACTTCAATCCATATGGCACCCAACTGTATCCGGCTGCTCTTAAGCGTTCTCGACATTTTTCAACTCAAAATCGCCGATATTAAATTGAGGTTTACACCGCGACCTAAGGCCTATTGTGCCCTTCCTTCTTACTTTAATCCTGAGTCTACAGACTGCTGTGAAGTCTATTATCCGGCTACCGGCAGTTTGCACAAGACCCCTGTTGAATAAGTGCTTCTTGAGCTTACAATGGCAGGTGTAAAATGCAACAAGTAGCCGGAATTTACTCCAAGGAACGTTGATTACATTTTTAACCCTGCTGAGATTGTAACCACCCATTAGCACTTTGGTCTAGCGCATGCCTTGGAGTTGTCGCCAATACTTTTCCCAGCCTACTCCTTCTTCCTTGAGGAGCAGCTCCCTTATAGTATGAGGACCAACCACAATACAGGGTTCCGATCCTACCATTCTAGTGGAAGCTTTCAGAGCGGGCAAGCTCGTCCGTTAGTTCTTTTCCCGCTATATCCTTTTTACCTTGCACCCAGATAAGGTGCACTTGGTTACGACCTGACAGGCCATTCAGCGATTCTATGCATTCTACTCTTTAGTGTAAATAGTTAGGTTGCATTTATACTCCTCCCAGTTCCCCTAACGCTTGGCTTAGCCTGCGCACTGTATTCCTAAGTTCCGAGAGACTGTTTGACCACCGAGGACAGCTATGCTTTTTGGTGATCGTCTTTAGGGGACAGCCGCAGTGATATGCAGCTATGATGCACTGGTTGAGCGCAGACAATCCGCTCTACAGTCCAGAAGCCGTTGCACTTCTGTCTACCTGCCCCACCCTTCTTACACTCAACCCTAGCGTATTACGAAAGACAACGCAATCTGTGTTCCAAGGAGTACTTTTGGGAAGGAGTTGCTTGACCACTTCTTTTAATACAGTCATTAGTTCGTTACCCAAAGTGATGTCTAACACCTCCCTTCTATTCTTTGCAACGAACGTGAGTTCACAACTCACATTTTCAATACTTAAATAACTACCAATAATAAATTCCAAGAGAGACTCACCCCGTGTATTGCAGTCTGTGCTACCCCATTCCGTGTGGTGGAGGCAGCTTGTCCCTCCTGCAGTAGTTCAGTAGGCTATGCTGCAGTACAGATAGTCCAAATTCAAAAGCTTTGGAACTTGTCTGTAATTGTTGAGTCAGATTATTACAATAGAATATTTTTATGTGGCTCCACAAATATAACACTTAGTCATGAATTTGGTATCAGTTGTAGCATTGCACATCTTGCCATCGACCATAGTCATTTCAAATATCTGTTATAAGAGAAATTTGCTCTCATATTATTTAACTTCTGTACCCGTCAACTTTCTAACAGCATCTTCAACATAACTTATTTCCTCCTTTGATACATCCACAGATGATCCACAGAACAAACCGGAACATTATTGGTCTACAATATCTAGACGACGACGGTGTAGGGCTTTGCCATATCATTCTTTTCTAAGCGAAACAAACGAGCTCAGAAACATTTAGTAGCCTGTGTCTGAGGCCTCTTGGAAACATTGCTTATATTTAGCCTGTTGTGATCTGTCATAACCCTTACAAATTATTTTTAGGGAAGTCTGTTCATTATCGTTAAGGGAACAGAGGATTTCTTCAAGAGCTATAGATAAGCGCGTAATTGTGTTTTGAATTGGACTTTGTAAACTTCTTTCCCCACAGGTGCTAGGTGGGTAACATTCTTTTTTTTTTTTTGCCTTGATTTACAGATCATAGCATGGATAAAGTGATTTATTGGTGTTTCTAAACATTTCATAATGTCGCTTTGTTAAATCCGCTTAAACATTCATTGATAGAGCTTGGAGTTGTGTAAGGCAAGAAATTTCTGCTCGATCTGATTCTGCTATTTTGTAAGCATTTCCGTATTTCCCTGCACGTGCTGGAGAATCCTTAATATCTCGAAGTAATTTCGAAGCGTTCTTTTTTCCTTGAGCCTATAGTGTGGTGTTCGCTGCGAACTGAAAGTAGAGCGCATTTTTTCAGTTCTCCTTTAAATTTTTAGATGATTTTTTTAAATGATGGTCCGGCCATCGATCGATTTCCAACATTTGTCGAAAGTTCGTTTAGCCAAGCTTTTAACCATTTTTCTTTGATAAATGTTTTAAAATATGCAAATCGTTGTTTCAAACTGCTTATATTTTTCAGGTGTGGCACCATAACACGCCAATAGGTAGTTTTTTAAATAATTTAGTTTTCAATCCAAATTTGGCAAATTTTGCAGTTGAATTTTAGCGAAATGTCGGGTCACTATTTTTACGCCAAAGGACTTCCAATCTTAAAAAAAACTTTAAGTCGGACATCCGCAGTCATCCGCACTTAAAATATTTGTCGTAAGCTAGCCTTTTATGTAAAATATTCAAAACTAAATTATGTTTAAACAATAATTATACAATAAAATTAAAAAAAAATAGTTTTTCTTATACCCTCTTTCAAAATTGGACCGTTACTACAAAATGAAAATTACCACGCCTGAAATACATTAGAAGAGAACAAACGTTATCTGAATTACTTGAATCCATCGCAATATTTGCGAAATAACAATTAGAAAACACAAAAATAACTTTTTAAATTTCGTCAACGGTAACTATAACGGTTACTAAAAATAATAACGTACAATTAACGCGAAGCTGAAGTTTTAAGGTGCGGGTGCTAGCTTACGGTGCATGTTTGGCAGGTGGAGGGGGTAAATTCGTATAAATGAGATATCTAAAAGAAACAACAAGGGCGGGTGTATGCTCCAATTCTCTGTGTTATGTTGTGCTTTTGAATGCATATGCTATCGCTAACAATGATCATTCGGCTTACATAATGCCAGCAAGTTGCGACCTGTGATCGTCCTGCAGTGCAATCCATCTCACCGAGCAATAGATCCCAGCACCCACTCCTCCCGCTGATGGTTCGCACTTCGTACTTAGTGGCCTTAGCAACAAGGAAACCGTTTTAAATATAGCAAAGTCTTGATCAACTTATATTAAATATATAAAATTTATTTTTATTTTTATTTGTGGAAAGTTACGTGACTCTATACCTGTTTTTTTAAAGCGCATTTCAAAATGTTTTTCCACTATACTATATAAAATTCAATAACGTTTACCAATAAATACGTAGTATGTTATATTAATTCAAACAAATATAGCAGTCACATATGTATTGTTGAGCTTTTGGTGTATTTTTTAAATATTGTTTTGTGTGTAAAGCTTTCGTTTCCGTTACTTAATATTCCATTCACCATCAAATCGTCGGCAATTTCTTTATTGTCATTTCTTTCATTGTGAATGGTTAATATCTGCTGCTATTGCATTGTTTTCTATCGGTGTCAAAAATTTTCGTTTGCGCTGCTTAGTATTTTGCATCGAATGTAATTGCAGCTATTTAATTCCATCATAATTAAAAGTGTTTAAAAACTCTGACAAGCTCAGGAAATTACCTGAAAATATACCAGCAAGAAATTTGCCATACCTTGTCTTGCTAGTCAATTGCCAAAAAAAAGCCATAACTTATTATCACCGCTGTCTTATAGGATTCAACTACAAGAATGGCCTCTACAATGCAGCTGGAGTTTTCGCAGGCCATGTCTGATTTTAAGACTATGTTTCCAGACATGGATCGCGAGGTAATTGAAGCGGTACTGCGTGCAAATCAAGGCGCTGTGGACGCCACAATTGATCAGCTATTAGCTATGTCAACGGATAATCAAAATGAAAAGCTGCGCAATGAATTGGACGCAAAAACATCACCACAAAGGAGTCTTATAAATCTACAAGGCATAGATATTCAGCCGCCAACTGCACAATTAATTGATACGTCTGACGGATGTTCAACAATTGCACCCAGCAATCAACAAAATGCAGCAGCTGCTGCTAATGCTGTGTTATTGAATCTCTGTGGCAGTAATGCTGCCAGCTCCTCCCCCAATCATAATACAGGTGCATCCCCCAAACAGCGACTGGTAAGTGCCAACAACAAATCGTCTGCAAATGTCACTCCAAAACGTAGTGGCGGTCATCATGGTACTCGACGTTGGAATCCTCCTATGCTCGGTCCATTGCCAGCTGGTTTTCTAAGGATCACACCAAGTGCACAGGATGGAATCGTTCGTGATTTTGACTTGCCAGATGAACAATTCGCAATGATGTTACAAAATGAGGAATTTATGAATCAGTTACGATGGAATCAGGAATTTATGAATGCGTTGGAAAAGGAGCAATGCGGCAAAGGAAAAGGTGAAGATGACGCAGCTTTCAAAGAACGCTTGAAGCATATGGGAAAGGTATCACGAAAAAAGTTTTTACAAATGGCACGTGTTTTTACATGGCAACGAAACAAAAAAACAACAACAGCCAAACAAATAGATTCACTGCCTCTAAAGGAGGAGCCCAGCGACGACGAAGATCACCATCATGGGCAACGTAAGTAAAAAACGATAGTTATGGCAGCTTGGGAAAACCCATAAAGACTTTGTTAGTGGAATTATGTGTTTTACAAAGAAATTATATAATGTTTTAATTTTTAATTATAAGCCAATAATTGTTGAAATAGTGTATAAGTTGCTTTCGCATTTGGTTGCTGCTAATCTTCATAAATTTATTGTTTTCTATGTACATTTAAGCTTTACATGCGATTGCAATTGTCTAACGTGATGCTCATAAGCTTTCCAGCCGATAAGCGTATATATACTAATAATGTGTATATATACTTACATATGTATTTATATATATCTATGGTTCCAAAAGACAAAAGGCAAATTCCAAATGTATAAAAAGCGTTGAAATGGTAGATTTTATTTTAAGTAAACTAAGTTCTCAAAAAATGCTTTAAATATTTTGTCCTCTAATGAATTACGAACAATAATAGTGGAATCGTATAGGAACAAAGAGATGCATAATGTGTTTAGAAGTGCAATAAAGAGTGCAAGTATAATTGAAATATATAAAAACGACACAGTTTAATAGGTTTTAGATTTGCAAAGGCTAATTGTTGTTTGTTATTTTAATGAAAAGTTGTATACAATTCAATTCGTATTAAAATTTGTTATACAAATTGTGTTTTTTATTTTTATTTTATTTTTTTTTTGTTTGTTGCAAATGCTGTTATGCAATACAATTGTTACAAATTTAACAGCATTACACTATATATACATATATATATGTATATAAATATATATATTTTAATGATTAATATAATTTGCCTTTTGATATGGAATGTGAAGATGCATGCACACGGTTGTACACTTATAGTTAATTATGAATCTCGTAACAATGCTAGATTTAAAATTGAAAAAAAAGCGTCGGGTTGTTGTTGGTTTTCGCTTATTATGTGGTTATGTAAAGAAAAATGTTGGACCGGACTGAATAGATAACATCGTAAACACCTACACACATAAAGTATATAAAAATTTTGTGTGTATACTTATATACATATGTACACAATATAATTATAATCTAAATATTAAAATAAACTTAAAAACTAGTGTATAATTAATGAAAGAACATATTCTCTTAATATCAAAATAATGTACAAGTCCAAAAATGAATGTTAATTATAATGTCATATTTGAAAATGATTAGCAAAAATTAAATTTTCCAACTTTTTGGGTTTTCTCCAGTCTGAAGACGAACTTCCAAAGATACACGCATACATAAATATATATATTCAATATCATATTTGAAGCTGAAAAAGTATAATCTAAGGCCAACATACGGCTGATATCGCATGAATCTTCGGTATAACGCGAATATGTATGCAATATACATATATAATATTACAATATATTAAGAACAAAAAAAATAGATTGCTTAATCTTTAGCAATAACGCTAGTCACAATTCCATTTATAAAAAAATCAAAAGCTGACAAACAATTTTACGTAGTTTTATCGAAGAAAACACTCTCATTATATGTATTATGGAAACTGAATACTTAAATTTTTTTTCGATTCTTTTTTTTTAATTTTATTAAAAATCATTTTAAAAAAATGAAATACACATATTAAGTTTGCTTGCAATACCTTAGAAAAATTAGTACAAAAAGGTAAAAAAAGAAAAAAATTTGTTTATACATATATTTTCGTGATATGCTACTCTAAATATTGAATAAGATAGAAGAAGCTAAGGAAGTTAAATAATTGCATTAGTTGCTACAAAAAATGCATATCATATTGTACATAGTGTGCCAAATATTAGTTTATTAGATATATCATTCAACAACGGCAATGCAGCAAAATATTTTACATGTATATTTTCATGATAAATCGGTTTTAAATTTCAAATCAAAAAGTAAAATCGATTTAAAATAAACCTTAAAATAATATAGTAAATGCCGTGATTTCTTTAAACGAGTTGTTTTCTCCAAATTAATGTGACGAAATGTTTCTAAACTGTCAAAATGTGAATAGAAGTAAATACATTATTTTTTATTTATTCTTCGATTTTTGCTCGAAATATACATATTTAAACAGAAAATTTTTATCGAGCCTATAACAGTATTTCAATTATCAAATACTATTCAAATTCTACGAAATAACTAAAGATAAACCAAAACAAATGTACAAAGATTAAAAGTACAGAATTTGTGAAATTTAATTACATAATTTCAACATACTAATACCTACACAATTCGTAATTTAACTTAATGCCTTTGTATGTAAAATGAAAAGAAAATATTTTGTTAAAGATTAAAAAGCGTAGAAAGTGCAGAAATCAGTGGCAAGACGGCGCTTCTCCGCCTGCATAGCATTTAATTGTATTATGAAAAATGCTTAATACTAATAAAGTAAATTATGAAAACACATTGCATAATGTAAACAACAATAAGTAAAAACTAATCATAGTTAAAACTAATTACGTATGCATGTATGTATAAATAAACTTTGTCAGACATGAATAAATGTAAAAAAAAAAAACTTAAAACAAATCGTTTTGTTCCTTAATATTCATTCGAAAGGAACACAAAATTGGAACAGATAATTATACCATGTGCGGGATATATTCATTTTGTTACGAAATTTGTAATACCCAGAAGGAAACGACGGAGCCCCATTCCGTCTGTATGTCCGTCTGACCTCTGAATTTATATACCTGAAATTTTTAACACGTCTTTTTCTCCATAAGAAGCTGCCATCAAACTGATCGGTAAAAATCAAGACCTTGTATGGCAAACTTTTTAATTTGTGAAGGGTATTATAGTTTCGTTGCACCGAAATTAACTTTTTTCTTCTTTTAATTATTCATACTTACATCCAGTAAAGTATTGGCAGAGAACGTATATGTATATAAAATACGTTGTCTGGTAGTGTATGATCTTTGCTATTCGCCGTGCGAACTTGTATTTTTTTACATTGTATCGTCATGTTTACTTCCGCAATTTTTTTTTATATGTAATTGTCTTCCCACGTTTTATTCACACATTTCCGTTTGAAGCATTTGAAAATAGTCTTTTAAATACTCATTCTCTTGCAACACCGATGTGACCACAAATTTCGTTCCAAACGAAATGTATATTTTTATTTTACTCAAACACATATTACATAAATCTGATTTTATTGCTGTCACTTCAGAAATGGCTCCAATATTCCGACACCACTCGGAATTATTGGGAAAGTTCACTCGAAATAATGGTACATACGTAATAACATGTGAACATACACTCTTTTACGTTTTATACTTTCATATCTAAACAAATATATATATTTTATGCACATATATATATTTTATGCAGATAAGTTTGGGTTACGCACGCCACTGGAATTTTTCAACGCCTTCAATTCGTTATGACTTTACCGAATTTGACAACAGGCTCAATTAATTAAATTCGCCTCTCGAAACTCAACTTATCGCTTTCATTACTACATTGTGTTATGTGGATTACTCTTTAGTTGTACTTGTATCTTTTGAACCTATACCGATGAAGACACATACATATTTATATTTTTATGTCATCATATTTACACGGCATACGTACACACATATTCATAATACTAGCAATGACCTAAGACATTTATACATACATATGCTGCTGATAATTACGACAATGTCTCAACCAGTGGCAACGACCGTTGTCAACAATAGAAAAGTGTGTCTCTTACTACACAAGTCTTCACACATCGTTGTATTTAGTTTCTGCTATTTGACTTCATTTCTTCAATTGCTCATGCCCTACCCTGAAAAGCTGTACCGGCCGGCTCGATTGCTGATATAGTAGCATGCTGACACAAGCAAATACATACATACATACCAACATCAGACGAGAATATGCCCAGTACTTAGTACTCAGTAGCTGCGGTCTGACATATGCTTCGGCTGCGGGTTATTTTCGGGCGCAAAAAATTAACTAATGGCGATGACTGAAAATAGCAATGGATTCGCTAATCTAAAACTTTATAAGTTGAGTTTGCTGGAATGTATGGAATGAGCTGTGTACATACTTGTTTAAGTAACACAGCAAAGAGAAATACTTTTTTTGGCATTATTAAAATACTGAACTTAATCGGGCGACCAAAACGCAGCTTTGTACGGACTCGAACAGTAGTACAACAAAATTCTTAAAAGCATTTGAGGGATTCAAAGAAATTCTTCCTAGTAATTGTTGCTAGCACGTCATTTCACAAATACCCTTGGCCAGATGAAAATCCGAATCGGTTTCTGTTACTTTGTTATGGGAATGTCATTAATGACTATTGGCATTTCGACATTCAAAAAGTGTCAATAGTTCTTCTGCGAATCAAAACAACTATAAATTATTATGTGCACACATAAAATATTAGAAATTTTTTAAAAAGCTACCACTCAAACTTCTAATCCGAAGTATGCTAAATAATAGTATGTCGTCCTTATGTTTAATGTTTTCGATTTTTTTGTTTTATTATTATATGTAAACGTAATACATTTAATTAGTATTTAGAAGACAATAAATCTATTTCTTATTATTTTTTTGTTACACTTTGATTTATGGTTTATGCACTTGTTTCTATTATTTCACATTATATTGTTGCGATTGCATTGTTTAATTTTATTTTTACCGCTCACAAATTTTAGGTCATTATACATTGTTCATTTTTGCTGGGTGTTGTAAATACCACGCTGTAAAGAAAAAATTTTATATGAATTTTAATTTAGCGGGTTTCAATTCTTTACCATTTCAATCTTTTGTTTAAATTATTTTGTTTGTAATTAATAATTTTTCATTTAAACTTTTTTTTTTTGCAATTTTTCATTAAATTTATACAATTGTTCATAATGCTAGAAAACATTAATTTTTATATCAAATGATTTTTCAATGAAAAGTGGTAACTATCGGATTTATATATTTTGATTGTTTGGTGAAGGGCTCGTTGGTCTAGTAATCGCAATATGCATTTCATTTCGGCTTGGATAATATTCTGATCTTGATGAAAAGTGGTCTACATAATGTACGAGTACGATAATCCGATTACTTATGATTTTTCAATATTTATAGGGCACATGGGAATCGTTTTGTCTTTCTGACAGTGCTATTACATTATTTCTATATAAACATTAATTAATGGAAAAAAATGAAATTGATAGAAGACTAGCAATAAATGTGCTGGTCTATATGAATTGTACATATAACTATGTGCCTTAAATGGCAAAAATTCTTATTTTCTCAACATTTCCGTTTCTTTTATATTTCCAATAATTTATGTTTTAGTTATTTGCTTGGCATATCCTTTGCTTAGGTTTTTAAGTCAAAACGGTTATTTCAACTATTACGATTTGGCCTACGCATTTCAGTTATGGCTAATAATGTATTATTTTTAACATAAAATACATATTTTTATGATGCAATCAAAAGAACATTTATGAATAAAGTGATAATATAAGTTTGGGAGCAATAAAAACCGGAGGTGTTGTATGATTATGAAAAATTCACAACCGTAGAATCATGTGTGAAAATAAAACTATAACATATTTACCCCGATTTTTTTATGCCTTAAAGCGTGTGAGAAATCGTTTTGACTTTACTGAGGCCCTAATATACATACATATCATTCATATTAGCTTACAAGCGTGTTTATTCAAAACTATACATTTTTTTCTCTTATTTATAGATATCTTGTAAATTTGTAAAATAGTAGCAAAGTAGTGTTTGTAAATTGTATAAACGGTTTGAATGATTTTGACAATGCGGCTTATTTGTTTTCTTACTGTTTTACTTTCACATGGAATTTTGCTTTAACTTCATTTTATGTTTGCGCTTAGACTTGCCTTTTGGTTTCATATAAAAAGTTTAATTATAAAATAAAATAATACAAACTCATTTAATTTTAATACAACAAAATAAACTTGGCATTTCAAAATTTCGCCTATATTGAATATAATTTTTATTAAATTTTTTTGTCTATCATCATTACAAGTACATATGTATGTATTCCAGTTTTTATTTCTATATGTATATCTAAAGAGACAGCGAGAACGATAGCGGACTTTAGAAAACCCCCACATTTAACATCAATGTTTTTCTCAATTTTATCCTTGGTACTCAAACATTTTTTATCCTCACTATTTGTTTATTTATTTGCTCCAATCAATACCATATTTTTTTTATATATTTGTTTTAAAATTGTAGTCTTATAGCAGAACACATAAGGATTTTTTAGGTTTCTTCTGTTTCTTCTCGGGTGACTTTTTATTGATCTGCCTGACCAGATCATAGAATATATCATTGACATTAACTTTAGCTTTGGCTGATGTTTCCATGAAGGCGCAGTTAAATTGTGTGGCCAGACTTTTACCCAGTTCTTTTCCTACTACGCGCTCATCTTCCAAATCGCATTTGTTACCCACTAGCACCATTGGTACATCATCTGTATCTTTTACACGCAATATTTGTTCACGCAGATCTTGCAGATCATTGAATGTTGATTGTGCTGTTATAGAATATACGAGAACAAAGCCTTGGCCATTTTTCATATAGAGATCACGCATGGCGGTAAATTGTTCTGTACCAGCAGTGTCCAGTATCTCCAACATACACTGTTGACCATCCACTTCCACCTGTTTACGATAACTGTCTTCAATTGTGGGATCATATTTTTCTACGAATATACCTTGCACGAACTGCACGGTTAAGGCCGATTTGCCTACACCTCCACTGCCCAAGACCACAATTTTATACTCACGCATAGTGTCAGTGATGGGATGGACGAACTACTTTGTTTTTTATATTTACTGAACAGGAAATAAAACGGCAATTTATATATAGCCGTGCACTACAAGTGATAACGTAATTACGAATTTCCTTTGTTGGCGTAAACGCTTTAGGTTTGTAGATTTACATTTATTTTTTATTGCAATCAACAATTTCAGCTCGTATTCTTTTAGCGAGTTATTGCCTTAATTTTTTCTTGTAGTGTCTATTTTAATTTTGGATATGCCCGTTTTTCGTTATTGAACTTTGTTTCTTTTAATGAAGTTGTTTTTTTCATTTAGTTCGTTTAGTTATCACTTTTCGGAATCTTTTTTCTTCTTTATTGGAAACCCAAAACTGGAAGCACAATCCGAAATGTAACAACTATTTTATCATGTAAAGAAGAAAAAAATAAGGGTGTGAATTAATTAAACGAAATCGTTTCTGGATGTTCAATTAATAAACTCACAATCGCTATTTTAGGCTCAACTTCAACTTCATCATGCTAATATGACTCATTTTGTCCCTTCTATTTTACCTTCTTTCTTCCAGCCGCTGTTGCCGTTGCTGTTGTTGTTGTTAGTGATTACGTTGCGGTTGCACCTCCTCACAGCCAGATATAATTTCACTCAAATTCCGTGACTGCGTCCCTTTGCACCGTTTCGCTGTTGCTTTCAAGCTGAAGCGTTTGCCTGTTTTTTCTGTTGCTTACTTCTCTTTATTCGTTCCTTCTTTGTTTCAACGAACGCCTTTGGTTCTAAATTCACAGTCTTGCTTTAAATCAACTATGGTGTCTAAAAACTCGCTCCAAACTAAACTAACGAATCAACTGACCTGCTCCGAATATCAAGCACAAAATGGAATGTGAATAAAATTTCTGCGCAGTTTTTCAGCAGTTACTTAATTATTTTTTAAGTTTTCTTTCCACACACTGTGCCAACGAAACACAATTATATTGGAAACAGTTTAAAAAACAATTATCGTTCAGGATTAAAACTTCTATTAAGAAAAATCATCGAAAACGACCACAAATTTTTCTGTATCTTTGCACGACGCGTCACAACTAGAGCAAGGTTGCAACAATTAACGAATAGAAAATTGACAGCATAAATGTAACGAGTAAAAAATGACAGCCGCGTTATATCGATAAATTAATCGTCTTATTAAAGAAAATCATTACTTAATTAAGAATCAAATTTGACACCCTTGGAATTTAAGAACTGGGTACTTTAAATTGAATTACATGTTCGTTTAATAAATTCTCAATAATATAAGTAGTTTCAAACATTTTTTAACGTTTTTTGTTTGCATATAATTTTCCAATATTCCATTATAGGTTACACTTATGTACTTAAAATCTTTCAAGTATTCTCACTATAGGAACAATGACTTATTTTAATTTTTTATTCATCAAACAATTAAAAACAAACAGTAAAAAAGTTAAACGGCCATTTGCTATTATTGTAGTAGCACCAATTGATTTTTGAACAATGAAATCGTTAAATATTATGATTCCGCATTGCTTTTATAACACATTTATTCTAAATTTCCTTAAATGAAACAAGTTAGTGAATTGCACCTCAAAACAATGTAGATACATTTATTATATAGTATTCACATTTTAAAGGCCTTAATATTAGCGTATTTTCGTAACCATACCCGCCGCAATGGTGACTCCTCCCACTCGCAACATGAAGCGTCCTAATTCTTTAAAGTCTGCATAACGTTCTATGCATATGGGTTTTGTTGTTTCTATTTCAACTAAAGCACACGTGTTATTACCGAGAACTCGAGGCTTCTTCTTGATAGTTTCACCGGTGCTTTTATGTAATTGTGCTTGTAATTTACAAAGGACAGCTGGCTCTATGAGCGACTGATAATGGAGCAGCACAGGATAACCAATAGTTATTGGCACTGTAACATTAAACACAAGTATACGAGCCTGGAAACGATTTGCCACCGGAATTGGATTTTGAGGATCGCAAATAATGGACCCAACAGATACTGTAGACATATCGACTCCTGACAATGTCACTGATACTTGATCTCCTGCAAAAGCATTTGTTTGTGGAATTTCGTCGATTTGTAATGCTTTGGTTTGAGCTTGCTCGCGACTAGCACCGACCAACACACGGTCATTAATGCTAAGTACACCGGTCTCTATACGGCCTGATATACAAAAGCCGGAACCGGTGCCTTTATATATGTCGGACACGGACATACGTAAAGGACGGTCTATTGATCTCTCTGGTAGTTTAAAATTATCTATTACTCTTAACAAATGTGGTCCTTTGTACCATGTTTTTAAAGCAGGTTCTTGTGCTGGTTTTGATAAATTTTCACCACTAAGGCCCGAACAGGGTATGAATGTAACATCTGATTCTTTAAAGCCAGCTTGCCTGAGAAAAATTTTCAATTTACCAACAATTTCATCGAATCGTCCTTTTGACCAGTCAACCATGTCTAACTTATTAATAACCACTCCCAATTGATTTACACCTAATGAACGAACGAGTAATGCATGCTCTCGTGTTTGACCACCTTGTTCAAACCCAGCTTCGAACTCGCCACGCGATGCATCTACTACCAAGAGAGCAACATCTGCCTGAGTAGCACCAGAAATCATGTTTGGTATAAAGTCTTTGTGCCCAGGAGCATCCAATAGTGTAACAACTTTGGTGTCGGTCTCTATACGTGAATATCCAACATCCATAGTAATTCCTAAAATAATAAATTATTAATGACTATAAAACAATTAATTTCATATTGTATAACCATACCTCTCGATCGTTCTTCCCCAGTTTCATCCAAAACCCATGCATACATAAAACTTTGTTTACCCATTTTCTTTGATTCTTGTTCATGCTTGTGCATTACTCTTTGTGAAACATATCCAGTATCAACTAGTAAATGGCCCATTAATGTACTTTTACCTATGTAGGAAATTAAAGAATAATTATAGTATATGGTTGTACGATATACCAGTATGCGAGTAGAATATGGGTACATACCTGCATCAACATGCCCAATGACTATCATATGAAAATGAGCTTTTTGTTCTCCTCTTTCTTGAGCGTAAAGCTTTCGAGCATCGCGCTGAGATTGTTCTTTGGATACTTTAATCGATATTATGGTTTTATTCACATCTTCATCTACAGGAGTATTTCTTCCAGACACGGCTGGTGACAGCTGCTGCTGTGGGGAATTAACTTCAAAACCACGGCGTATATCTCGTTCACTTAACGGTTGGGCAGTGACTTTGATTGTAGGTGGGATATTTACGTTGGGAGCTATTTCACGATCAGGTGTTTTTTGCTTTGATGCAGACGACGTAGTTGGCTGCAGCATTTGATTTTTTGACGTGCTACTCCCACTAACGGATTTATGCCGCTTGGGTTTGCTGTCACATTCGTTATTTAAAATATCGTCGAGTATTTTTGTTATATCATAACCGAAACTAATAGAAGTCTCTACGATTCTTCGCTCTGATATTTGATCTCCAACCACGTTGCGTACTTCATCGATGCAAGATGTAAGTTTCGCTTTGTCAACATCATTTAATATTGGCATTTGAAAATTATCTGAGTCTCGTCGATCTTTCTCATATGAGATACTATCTTCTAAAGTTTCCTCCTCCTCTTCAATATCTCTATTATTTTTAATAAAGGCAGACATACTGTGTTGACCTCGAGCTCTGTCATATAGCCATTGCGCGTCTGTTGGGGATATGCAACTATCATCATCAACAGAGGTGCCGTAGACATCATCGTAACCTAAAATAAATGAAATTCAAAGAGAATTATTCCGCAGCAAATAAATTTAGTTTTATTCCTTACTTACCGTCATATTCGTCGTTGTAATCCATAGCCCGCACTATTCTGTGTCGAGACATTTTGATGCTGGTCTTTAATTACTCAGCCACTATCAAAATTCCACAATAATATCTATGTATCGAGTAACAACAAATAATTAAAAAATTTTGTGAAATTTTGCCATCGCATCGAAAACAAATCTAAAATCGAATACCTGCAGAAAGTTGGCATGCTACACAGCTGACAGTAGGCAGTGTTGCCGGTTATTCGGCACAGTTTTGCATTAGGTTTTCAACACTAGAGGACATTTTCCCGACACTTCCATTCCGATATTATACATAATTTCGATCAAATTATGTACAGATATATTCGTAAATATCTTTACACGTTTGAAATATTTGCATGGCTTCGCATACTGTTACCTTTTCAACATTTTAAAAATTTAATTTTCTCGCTACTTTCACTTAAATTTATAAAATAAATCCAAGGTTTGGAAATGGTTTTATGTTTTTTCAAACCAAAATTAAATATTGACGGAAAAAATTGTTTAAATCGCCTGTTCGACTTAGTTAAAATGTGTAAAATCTGAGTTATATTTAGTTTATATAAATTTTAAAAATTATATTTTCTTAGAAATCTTTTTAAACAAATCCCAGGTTTAAAAATTGTTTAATGTTTTTCCAAACAAAATTTTTATTGTGACCTAAAAAAATGGTATAAGCCATCTTTTCGACTTTTTTTAGTAGAAATGAGTAAAATCTATATTATTTAGTTTAGATTATATTTAATTAGCTAAATCCAAAAACGCAAAAGTCAGATTATAATGTTTCGTCGACTTTTCAAATATACAGTATGCGTTTTTCGCCGTTATCATAGTACTTACAAATAGTTTAGATATGATTCCTCGCCCGTCCACACTCTTCCGATCAAGCAGTTCATTTTCCACTGTCAGTTGCATTTCATTTTCCATATCAGTTCGTTATTGAAGTCGAATATTTGCAACAAAAGCAAACGATAGTACTGTCGCAAGTATAATTTATTCAATATTTTTGTTCAAGAATTAACTTGCGACAAAAATAATTAAGCTATCATCTCTTATAAAAAAAATTGTGCTCAAGTTAAGTTGTCTGGTTAAAAGTACCTATCGTTATGTGAGAAAATATATCATCAGAAAAATGCATATGCTGGAAAAAAATTAAGAGTACATAAATTTCAAAGTGAAAAGGAATTAAAGAAAAAGAAAAATGTGTTGAGAATTAATTATAAGAAGTAAAAAGACAAAATTTAAAATATAAATCAAGCGTTTTATTTCAAAATGCTTAATATTTATATAAACTACAAATGGTGAAAGATATAATAATATCAAGTGCAATAAATGTGGTTTATTCTTGCTCCCAATAATAAGGATAAAATAAGTGAGTTAGTTCACAAAAGGCCTGTAAAATTGTTTAAGTGCTGATTTGATTAGATAACCAAATAATCATTTTTGTCGTAAAGTTGTTATATCTGTGCTCAGCTCATTAAAATCTTGCAAATATAATGCAGAATAGTAGTAATTCCAACCGTCAAGGTAAAGAGAAACGTTTCTCTATTCATGATGCATTCGAAGAGGAGACAGACGAGGCAATACGTGTATATGGTTCCACGGTAATATCAACACCTATACGTGCAAAGCAACGTTCAACTGACGATGTATCCATTCGCATTCAGGATCCAAAGTGGGTATATATACATAAAATATATTATTACTTATATTGCTTATGTTAGTCCATATACTAACATAAGTACTCAAAAAATTTTGCAAACTACGACTATTTTAGTATATTATTTAATCATATGTAAAACATTCGATTCATTCAATTTTGAATCAAAAATTAATTCTTTAATTTCCAATTCGAAATTGCTGAGTTGTGTATTTTTTTGTTGGTAATTTTTCATTACAGATCAAAGATTACTTGTAAGTAGTCAAACGATTGATTAGCATGACTGTATTGAGCAGTGTGCATTATATAATATATTTAATATTTACTTTTTATAACCGTTGAACAAGGTATATTAAGTTTGCCACGGTATGAATGAATCGATTTGCTATGTTGTTATTTGGAATGGTTCCGATATGAAGGATATTCACTCTAGATTTCCAAATTTCGTGACGTAAAATCCTCAAAGTATGATATGAATTTCTTTTATCAATCAAAAGGTATAGCGGCAACTGCAAGTTCACTTATCTTTTTCTACTTTATTCAATTTAAGCTTATTTTTTTGTTGAAATGATTACTAATTATTAAAATTGTCTCAGAGAGCCTTCACCTCGAGTAAAAAGTGTGGATTTGTTTTATATACTTTAAATATAAAATAAATATATATATACATACATACATATATATATATATATATTAATTATTATATATATGTATACATACATATATATATATATTATATATATTATATATATATATTTATATATGTATATATACATATATATAATAATTGTACTTCGCTCTAAATGATTCGAGGGATCATTTTAGAACCTCCATTCAACGTGGCAATGGCGCACGAGTTCACTTTTAACAATTTTCTATAATCGCTCGCCTACGCCAACGTCACTATGAATTTAGATGTGAACAGTAGTCCGCATAAACGTCCTAATTGACCATCCGGTGAGTTCACTCACATTTACGCCATTGTAAAACCCATTTAAATTGTGAAAGCAATTGTAACGAAAAATAGCCACTTAAAAACATAAAACTATAAATACGGGCATAGGCAACTAAAATAAAATGAATTAAGAAGGCAAAAATCAAAAATATGTCAATGATTCGTTAATTGTTACATACATTTGCGCTTGTCGCTCTAAATGTCAATATGATTGTTTTCAATTGTTTTGTAAACATTTTCGTTACCGCTTTGCCGGCGGGTAAAATAGCAATTACAACAATAGAAGTGGTTTCATTGTGAGATGCAACTTCGTACAAATGTATTATTTAGTTTTTGTTTTGTATTTCTCGTTGTTGCATTCAATGAGCTGCATTACTATTTTTATCACAGTTGCTTGTGTTGCTGTGAATTTGTACAACGTATTAACACACCCTGTGGGAAAAATAATTAAAACTGAATTTGTTACCTTTTAGAGCAACTACATTTTTAACAAATTTTATTCCTTTGTGTCAAAAAAGCTGGTTTTTGGATTTAAGAGAATAAAAAAATCAGAATATATTATCATGTAAAATTTTTTTAGTTAGATTTAATTCTTTCATGATAAACAAAAAAATAAAGGTCGATAAGGTTGTTTTAGTATTCCCACAGAGTACATATTTCCAAATGTTTGTAAACAAACAGCCTATTTTTAGTTTGATATGACGTACATACATACATTCATATTTGCTAGAAATAAAAAAGTTCAATTGGTTATTAATTCGATAAGGCGATAAATAAAATAATAGCTCACCTAATCGTAACAAAATGTTTAAAGTCTAATCAACACGTAAGAATCGAATGTTACTGTATTTGTTATTGTAGAGGAGAAATACTAAAATCAATCACAATAGTATGAGAGTTCAGTGGTGAATCCTACAGCTCTTGTGATACACTCTTTTCGAAAAGTAATTGCGAAATTGCGAATTCAATTTTTAATATTTCACAAAATTTCCGTGATATTGTGTTTAAAGTTGGCCGGACATACGAAAAGCATTGTCTTTTTATTATAGTTGTCCACAAAAAAATTGGAGTGACATCATTAACAAAACGAATGCTTAAATTTTAAATAAAAAAACATGTTTTAATGCTCAAAAATTTTGCACACACCACTGATGATATATTAATATGTCCATAATCCATATATTTCAATTGAACGGAGGCAGGAGACTGAACAGACTGATACATTACCTCAACTCCATTGACTCTACACCACTTCTTAGTGCACTTGCTGATATGTTCAGGGTCATTATTTAGTTGGTATACCCATATACATGTTATGTTCATCGCTGATGCTCCTGGCTGAAACAAACGCATATCACATTCAAAATTTGTTTCGTCTTCTGATATTAATATACCGTTATGTGTACTGCACGTCATTTATATGTGATCCCTAAAAGTTATGCATCCAAATATATTTTTCATATTGGCACTCCTATTATTTTTTGGACAACTGTATGTGGCTGTGAAAACTGTAAGACGGAGGACTTTACCGCTCAACTTGAAGAGACTTTCTTAGGGTGTCTATCAACCGATTTTTCAGACTACCAAGCGAAAAAACAAACGTTTACACTGTAGTAGATTTCTGGCGCAATAGTGCAAACCGACCTCGTATATGTCATATAATTACGGTATCTATTTTAACGCTTTGTTATCCAAGAAAAGGTTAGATAATCTTATAACTCTGTAAAAAATTCTATATATATCTCGTTTATTTTATAAAAAATTCTTTATTTGCTTGGATAACCGCACTTTGAACAGTCTCATTGCAAAACTGGACTGTTCCAGTTACCGCACGCGACCCCAATCGTTTTCGATCGCACGTACATAAGTACATATGTATGTACAAGTATGTAGATAATACAAGCCGCTTTAACAATGTACATTTGTACTTGCTTGTAAACCCGATTATTACTCACAGATTTATTATCCCATTACAAGTTGTATCTTTTTTTCTTGATGTGTATGATATGTAAGATATATAGTTAACGCTACAAATACAAATTTTATTGCTGTTACGTTTTTCAAATTTAAAAGTCAGATTGTTAGAGGAATTAAACTTTAATTACAAAATATGTCTGACTAAGATTTTTTTTGCATTTTTCCTCTTAAATGATGTAATGTGCAATGAAAAATCGATTTGAAAATGCATTTAACTTTGACTACATACTTGTATGTTTGTATGCATACTCAATAGACATTGCTAGATAGATGGAGAGGATATGAACTGCGACCGTAGGTTTATTGAGTCTTTTGACTCTTTATTATTTCGTTCAATCCTAAAGCTCTCTGAAAATTTAGAATGCTTAAGGGATTCATTGATTTAATGTGACTTTGCTTCGGCTGCGTGACTCCTAGATGCATCAGTCTTCTTCTAGTGACAGCATCGCATTCCAAAAATATGCGCACTGATATCTCGTATCGTAGCGCATTCTGTGCATAGGTTTGCGTAGTCTGCAGTGTCCCTTAAGAAATGCTAATATTTTTCATCTTTTGGTGTTGTAGCCGTGTTGTAGTTGCTTCGATAAATATTCTTTTATATCCTTTTATGCTATAAGAAATGCACTTACGAAGAGTATTATATCTTCGGTGCAGTTTAGGTTAGCGTTTTAATATTGTTTTATATATTTTCTATATGGATATATACTGCATATCTGAAAATTCAAAATTGCATCATAGAAATAGGCGATCAGAGGTACTTATAAAGGAAATCGGACAACTCTGTATGGCCGAGAAAAAAACAAATTATTATTTTATCCAGCTTTCTCAAGTTTAGTCAAAATAAATTGCAAATTTCAAGTTAATAACTAAGGCAAAATATATTCCCTGCCAATTGCTGTTGTTGTTGACTTAAACCAATTGTTGATGATTTGTTCACATCAATATTTTTGTATGTACGTGCGAGTATGGACATCTTAATAGAAATGTGTTAATTATTGATATTTTATGTATATTTCTAAAATAATGTGTTAATAGGTTTAAACTTTTAAATAAACAAACACACATACATACGCGCTAATTATAAAGAGGCAAATTGGCTTAGTTCACTGCAAATAAATATATCATTAAATAAATATTTGACAATAACGTTAAGCTTTTCAAAATCACAACTCTGGAAAATTTAACAAGGGATTTACAGGATCTTGGAAAACCCCATTTCTGGTAAATTTCTGTGTCTCCAAATTTACAAATTGAAAGTTAACAATTACTTAATCGTATTGTCTCGATTCTTCATCACAAGAAACGAAATTCACGGCGATGTTTTTCTGAAACTGGAGAAGGATCGATCTTCACATTAATGTCAAAACGTTAAAATTCCAACTCTAAATACTTTTAAAAGTTTGCACTCGTTTACTCCTCATTAAATGAATATTGAGACCAAAATAAGTATAACTTCATTTTGATCGTTTATTTTTTTTGGCAGCTATAGTGATCCGATCTGAACAATTTCTTCGGAGATTGCATAACTGCCTTAATCCATGTCAAATTTCGTGAAGATAAATCCTCAAATGAAAAGACTTTCTATGCAAGCACTTGATTCCGATCGTTCATTTCGTATGACAGCTGTACTATAGTGACCTGATATCGGCACTTCCGACGAATGAACAGCTTCTTGGAGAGAAAACGACGAGTGCAAAAGCGAGATATATATACAAGGTGCATTCCAAAGTAAACAGGACTTTAAAAAAAAAGACAGAACAAATGGTTTTATCGGTCAAATCAATTAATTGTATTCAAAATAGTCTCCTTCTGCTTTAATACAGCTTTTTGCACGGTCCAAAAGCATGTGGAACGAGTGTTTTTGCTCGTTGCCCGGTATGGCCGCCAGTATGCCGGTGCAAGCCTTTCGAATGGCCTCCACGTCTGCATAACGCTTTCCTTTCATCGGCAAATGCATTTTTCCGAAAATGTAGAAGTCGCACGGTGTCATATCAGGTGAATACGGGAGTGGTTGATTGTTAAATGTGATTTTGGTCAAATAATCGGTCATAAGCGTCGATCGAAGAGACGGCGCATTATCGTGTAACAAACGCCAACTTCCATCTTCGCGATATTCGGGCCGAACACGTCGAATACGTCGCACTAAACGCTTCAAAACTCCAAGGTAGAATATCGCATTAACGTTTTGGCTGGGTGGAACAAATTCTTGTGGACAATACCCTTGGAATCATAAAACAAATCAGCATTGTCTTCACTTTTGACTTCTCCAGGCGCGATTTTTGGGTTTCGGCTCATTTCTCATTTATGTCCTCACGACCACTTTGAAAACGTTGAAACCACTCGTGCACTCTGCTACGGGATAGGCAATTATCGCCATAAACTTGTTTCATCAATTGAAACGTTTCGGTAAAGTTTTACCAATTGTAAAACAAAATTTGATTTTCGTGGGCTGTGTACATTCGATTATCGATATTTCGCTTTTGTTATAATCGGACACATATGTTTATCATGTACTTGCATAAGAGCCAAAATTATCGAATCACTATAGGGAAGTTGTATAGGGTTCATGCCATTCAATTTTCTCGAAGGTTTTGGGCATGCAACGTGTGGCAGCGAAGTTTGTTCAAAATGCTAAATTTTGAGCAAAAGCAATGTCGCATTAGTATCGCTCAGGATGCCAAAATAAAACCGTAATCATGCCTCAACCACCGTATTCACCAGATTGGCTCCCTGCGACTTTTTCCTATTCCCAAAACTGAAGAAACCAATGAAATTTTAGCATGTAATTTAAGGCCTAAATCGACGCCAACCTTAGGACTTGTCTTCGTTTGATATATCAGAATAATACTATATACATAAAGATAGGGATTTGCAGAGCAAACAAGACGACAAAATTACAAGTGCCTATGCAGACTGTAACAATTGTTTCCAAAATGAATATATCGTATACTCGTACATACAGCGAGTCATGTTGTGGCTAACCTAAATACTTATTATATATACTCTGCAACTTGTTGCTACAGAGTGTAATAGTTTTGTTCACTAACGGTTGTTTGCATCATCTAAAACTAATCGAGATAGATATCGAGTTATATATACACTCGGCAGAAGAAGTCTGCTTACATGCTTGTGCCTTATTTTCTTTTACTAAAAATATCTTTATATACTAAATTTTAGAATATCACATAAGTGCTTATTACTAGTCTATTGTCCCATAGAATTTCAAGCAGTGAAAATCTGATACCATAGTTTTATTCATAAATTACACAAAATTGTCATTTCGCAGCGCAGAATAAGTCTGCGTACAAGTAGTTAAATGGGCGGAAAGTTATAGTTTACTTGTTTTCGTAAAAGTAGCATTTTAAACGATATTTGGTTTAGAACCAAATGAAAACAAATGGATCATACGGTGAAAACAGTCGAATTGTTGGAAGAACACTTACTTTCATAAAAGAATAATAAAATTACAGATTACTTTGTCCAATGAAAACAAGTTTTAGGCCTTTGAAATCAAAGGCCGTAAGATTTACCGTGAAAACGAGCAAGGTACTCGATAAGAAAATCTTGATGTATACTGTAAGCACGGTGCTAAGAAGAGGCCACCATGGTTAAATATGCATACCTTAATATCTTCAAAATAAATTTGAAGCAAAAGCGGAAGAATTAAGTCTTGAAAGTGACTACTATTCTACAGAATAACCACCCGAAGCGTACAGCATAGACATAGTTAAGTGTTGGTTACTCTACAGTGTTCCCAAGCAGCTTCAAACACCACCAGAATCATCAGATTTGAATTCTAAAAGGCACCTATGGGATTCACTGGAACGTCAAATCCACCAACGCACTATTACCTTAAAGCATATGTTCAAGGATGTGCTGAACGAGGAATGTGCTGACATCCCTCGACAGAAACCTCTAAACTTGCTTATTTCATGCCAAAACCTCAGCGGAAGTTTTAAAACTTTGGGAGTATCCGACTTAAATTTTAAGAAGAATTCGGTGGAAGAATATCTTTGCTTGACTTATTTACCCTTTACGCAGACTTTTTCAAATGGCTTTTTATTCGTCGGTATGTTTAGCTTTCTTTATTTGTTATTGTCGGAAATTTAATCACTTTTATTTCCATAAAACTACATATTTAATGTCTTTTAATGAATATCAAATTTCTTGGTTTTAAAAAGTATATACAATTATTTTTCCAACGATTTAATTTTGTTGGTACCCTGTACGCAGATTTTTCTGCCAAGTGTATATAAATGATCAGGATAACGGGACGAGTTGAAATCCGGGTGACTGTCTGGCTAAAATTGTCAAAATCGGATCAAAACTGTTAAGCCCTTCCATACTGAATATGTGGACGTAGTGCATATGGCGGCTTTTATCAAAAATACCGCTTAATCTGTGAGATATATTATAGCAATTCGAGAGAAACCTTTTCGAAAGATAGTATGCCTGTATGTCAATAATGGATTGAATCGGAACAATACTTTCTCTAGCCCGCAATAGTACCTAATTAAAAGATTTCCGAACTTCAAATAATACAAATTTTATTGTAATCCATACACGATTTCATCGAACAATGAATGTTAAATTTTATTGCATTATTTTTAAAACAAGATTTTGCACACCTGAAGGTATTTCCCGGTTTGATTCGGGCAAGTTTCAAGAATATTAAAAGTTCGGTTACACCCGAACTTAGCCCTTCCTTTAATGATCTTTTTATGTATTTATCGGCGCCTAAATTGCTTATATTACTGACTCACTACAAATAATTAACAGATGCGCTTACCGTTATTATATTTTGTTGAATTATTCATTCTCTCCATCTATTCTCATTGCTTTGTCTCAGGTGATTTCATAAATACATACCGTATACATGTGTATGCGTTGTCACCAGTATAGGGCACTTTTAGGTCTTCTGTTTCATTTGTGCACCTTTT